GATGACCCCGCCTGACAACCAACATGACCGACAGCGCTAAAAATAGAACACATAGGGGTAAAATGCAAGTTTAGGTTATTATCTTGAAAACCGCTACAAATAGAGAAAATATGACAGAGCAGAAATGTTCAGAATGATGAAATATAACTATTGTTCATTTAGGTCAAAACTGTCAGACGTCCTCTTATAGGAATTATTGCTCTTGAATGACGATACCAATTTTTTACATTTTTGTCTACTATTCTGAAAAATATAATAGATAGAGAGAAACTTTAATTAGCAAAAATGATCAGCAAAAAAGGATCTACAAATAAGTCAAATGGTCGAAATTGTCTGACGACACCTTATTAGAGTTATTGCCCTTTAATGACGATACCAATTTTTTATATTTTTGTCTACCATCTTGAAAAATGTTATAGATAGAGAGAAACTTTAATTAGCAAAAATGACCACCAAAACAGGATCTAAAAATAAGTCAAATGGTCGAAATTGTCTAACGACATCTTATTGGAGTTATTGCCCTTAAATGGCAATTTTAATCATTTTTTTTTTTGGGGCGTATTTGCCTAATATCTGAAAAAAAGCTGTAATAAATAGATAGAAACTTAGATAAGCAAAAATGATCAGCAAGACAAGATCAACAAAAAGAGATTTTTGTCATGAATTCTATTCTAGTCTACAATGTTGAAGAGTGTCCATTGTTGAAGATACACATAGACCTAAGTGAGCAATAGAGGCTCTAAAGAGCCTGTGGTTTTTCTTGCATACACCTCGCCTTAAAAGTTCTTATAATGAAATCTTCCAACACACCTTTGATGTATTCAAGTATTCTAAGCATTTCTTTTTTGGGGCAAGTATTCAAGAAAAATACTCTTATACTATTTGGGTGTTGTACTATATTTCGGGGAATTTAATCATTTTTTTTTTTACATTATGAAATCTGGAATGATGTTTAGTATCAATAATTTTGTTATTATGCACCAAGAGAATTTTTGATACTGATTATATAGTTGTGTTGGAAAATTAAAAAAATCGTCAAACACTATATTCATACAGAACGTTGTATGAATAGAAGATGAAAAAGAACGTTTTAAGAATACAAGAATTTGTCGTAACAAACTGGAATACCACCATTAAATTTAGTTATAAAGTAACGGAGATAGGATCTTCTTGATCACATTTGAACATATATTTAACATTTAGACTTTATAAACAAAAATTAAATAATAAATGCAAGAGTCGAGGAAATACGGAGGTAAAGTGGCCATACATATATTTGTATCATATATATATATGACTTGTATGTACAAACAAACTTAAGTACCAGAGAAGTGAGACGATTCAACTTCGACCACTATGGACAATATAAAAATAACGGTATGATGTATGAGTGCCTATGCGACAACTATCCACTAGAATTCAAATGACGTAGATATAAACAATAATAAGTCACCGTACACCCTTCAACACTATGAGAAAACCCGTATGGTCAGCTATAAAAGGCCCCGACATAAAAATGTGAAAAATTTCAAACGAGAAAACAAACGGCCTAATTTGATTTTTTTCACATATTATTATGTAGGGGCCTTTTATAGCTTACTTTACGGTATCGGTTTTGTTGATTAGCATTCAAAATAAGACCACTCCACGCGAAAGTGGATCCGTTCTGCCAGATTTTGGAAAAAAGGAAGAAACACTTGAAGAGGAAGGTATGTTTTGTTTATCCCTGGTGAATGTATGTGCGAGCGATGTTCGTTTCTGGTTATTTCAAAATTGAGTTACCTTTCTTACTACACCACTACACCATGTGAGACAGAGCTTTCTTTCACAAAATAATTCTCATTGATTGGTTGGTTGTTATTTACTTGAAATTCAATATTCTATTCATATTCGTAAGAACAAAGTGCACACTTAATTAATTTGGTTAATTGGGTTAAATTATACAACAGGTGAGAATTTTGGACTTCAAATAAAAAATAGATGACGAGGATGGACAGAAATAATGACTTTTTGAAATTGGTTGCCTTTGGACCTACTGTTATAATTAGATTTTCTCCTATGGTTGTCGCCTGTTATCTACGGAAGCCGGTTAGTGTCAGGGTAGAGTTTTATCTTTAAGTCGTTATAACGACTTAGCTACCTTGTTTTAACGACTTATCAAACTCGTCTAAGCAACTTAGCTAACTCGTGTAAACAACTTAGCTAACTCGTTAAAACGACTTAGCTAACTCGTCAAAACAAGTTAGCTAAGTTGTTGTAACGAGATAGATATGCTAAGTCGTTATAAGAACTTAGCTAAGTTGTTATAACAAGTTAGCTAAGTCGTTATAACGACTTAAAAATAAAACTCTACCCTGACACTAACCGGCTTCCGTAGTTATCTATTTCTTGCATGAAGAGTTATTTCTCGTATGTAAAAAGTGAAACGAAAAATATTTTAATTTGATTGTTTTATACGAAAAATATTTTAATTTGATTGTTTTATCCAACATCATGAGACGACATTACGACATGTCCATTGGCTATTCGTTAGGTCATTGATGACTTTCAAAGGTTAAGACTATGTACATTTCGTTCATAGCAACGGACATATGTGATTTCTTTAATGATATACAAAACAATCACACTTTTCACCTGAAAATGTTCTTTTTGTCAAATTTCATTACGTTCTGAAGGGTACAAAATGTTTTAAAATGTCTGATATTAAAATTTGTCGCCGGAATAGGACATGTGGCGTAATACTGATATGTTCAAAAGACTATATCAACGATTCGCTGAATTTTGAGAGTTGACCATAAAAAAAATAGGTTTAACAACTCGTGAGAAATGAATAACGCTTGATACCTAACCTCATTATTTAACTGAAATAGTAATAAAAAACTCACCGAAGGCTCGTTTATTATTATAATGAAATTAAATAACTCGAATTGAAGCCTAATATATCTTGTAACATGAACTTAACGTGTGGTAATCAATATATAGAACAAACAGGAGTGTTTTTTTTGTAAAAGAACACAAAACATCTTTACCGCAGACCTAAGAAATGCAAAAGTTTGATTTACCAGTTTTTTGAAAAACACTTAAACAATATTCATTTTATAAAATTCCAACTACTGAAACCGTGAAAAACAACCATGACCAACGTACAAGTTATAGACAGCATACCCCTTGATCTACATGATAATATCGTGGTAGAAAAGAACATGGCTAAAACATCTGAATATTGATATCATGAATATTGTTGATAAAAGACAAGGTAGTCAAAAGTCTCACTGGCAATAGTATATCAACAGGAATCGTCGAATTAAACATCATACTAATTTTACTTAATGTTCTCATATAGATAGCTGTATTTAAAAACAATGATAGACATAAATCATGATGCAAAGTCGGAATCGAGGAAACAATTCCCATCACCATTATTCGTTTCTGTCGAGTATATGTAGTAATAGGGCTGTTGCAGATTAGAGAAAGGGAAAAAAACTACATGGAGACTGACAATGCAAGAAAAGTCATATAGATGTGTCGACCCTGCTTCACAGATATCCTTTAAAAGCAATCTGATTAAAATTCAGATATATTGTAACTCGCTTACTCATCATACGATCTCAAAAGAGGATAATGAAGTCAAATCTATATTTTAATTAGATTGTGTTTTAAGTACTACCGAAATTGTGTAAACTTTTTCGATATGCAGATGCAGTTCAACAAATTATAAATGAATACAAAATTTCATAAAAATCCCAAATATTGTCAAATTACACGTATATTGGCTAAATAAGTATAAAGTATGAAGTTTTTATAATCTTTATAAAGTATAACATCGATAAACTGCTGTTGCATCAAATTGTCCAGAAAACTAAATCATAAGTGAGGCCTTTCAGCCATAAAACTTTACTCAGTACTCGGGAGTACAAAATGTTTGCTCGAAATACCAAATCCAGTATTTTGATTGGTTGATTTCTGAGTCTGAGTACAATAATTGTACTAAAATAGTTATGACTGTAAGGCCTGGTATCAATGACTGAGTACAATAATTGTACTAAAATAGTTATGACTGTAAGGCCAGGTATCAATGACTGAGTACGATAATTGTACTAAAATAGTTATGACTGTAAGGCCTGGTATCAATGACTGAGTACAATAATTGTACTAAAATAGTTATGACTGTAAGGCCCGGTATCAATGACTGCAATCTAATTAAAATATAGAACTCGGATTTCGTTATACTACATTCGTATGTAGTATAACGAAATTATATTTTAATTAGATTTCAATGACTGAGTACGATAATTGTACTAAAATAGTTATGACTGTAAGGCCAGGTATCAATGACTGAGTACAATAATTGTACTAAAATAGTTATGACTGTAAGGCCAGGTATCAATGACTGAGTACGATAATTGTACTAAAATAGCTATGACTGTAAGGCCTGGTATCAATGACAGTACAATAATTGTACTAAAATAGTTATGACTGTAAGGCCAGGTATCAATGACTGAGTACGATAATTATACTAAAATAGTTATGACTGTAAGGCCTGGTATCAATGACTGAGTACAATAATTGTACTAAAATAGTTATGACTGTAAGGCCAGGTATCAATTACTGAGTACGATAATTGTACTAAAATAGTTATGACTGTAAGGCCTGGTATCAATGACTGAGTACGATAATTGTACTTAAATAGTTATGACTGTAAGGCCTGGTATCAATGACTTGTGTTTTTTTAAACTGTTATCACATAATTATTAGTACTGGGATCTCGATTGTGAGAAATTTACTTGGCATATAAGGTCTTCTCGATTTATTTACTACACATGTATATAACAGGCATCATTTGTTTGAATTTGCTTGAGTGCATCAAAAAGTGCTTCTTGCATATCATTCAATTTTGCTGTTACATTTTGTCTTATGTCGATCTAGCTTAGGACCTTGTTTCTATACAGAAGTTCTGGTGTGTTTCTGTGACATTTACATCTAGTATAAAATAAATTGAGTTTAAAGCTCTAAGATTTATTCGCAAAGCTTCTACGACTTAATGTGTTCGTCGTTTGCTAAATTTACAGTAAAATGTTATCTTTACATGAAATGTTTTCTGTGTTTTCATTATAATTATTCATATGAAAGTTTCCTCCGATCCTATTATCAGAAATGTCCTTGCGGCGAGGTGTCAAACATTGATGAGTTTTGTTACAAGTTTCCAAACTAATTCATTTTCTTAAAAACCAATAACAGCAAATATAAGAAGTTCTATAAACATAGAAAATGGTACATAACAGTGTCATTTTTGTTCTCATCATTCAATTATCGATGATCCACGTAGGATATTGCTTTATTAGTTCGTCATAGTTATGATCAGCTGGAAGACAATTGGACCCCCGTTTCACGCCATACCGCTCGACTGTTACAGCTGATCCTCTTCTTGACCTTTGTATCGGCTCAACGCGTACAGCATTTTTAGAGGAGATAGCTGCATCTTCAGCGAAATAATTATAAGGCAAGAATAAACAACTGACATCCATACCGGGAGATGTTGTGACAGGAAGATCTTCTGTGTGTGGAATGTGATATTGCCCCATAGTAATCCAGGCCACTAAATCCTGAAGAAAAACAGAAACTGTGAATACCAACATTGAAAGATGTACACCTCTGAGGGGGCAAAAATTTCAAGAAATAAAGTTTTTTTCTTAACCTGATTTTTGGGTTCATATGACTGTAAGAAAGTAATTGATGAAGAAAAAATCATATGGTGGTGTACTTTATTTACTACAGCCCTTTGAAAGTACCCATTTTTAATGATTTTCCCATCTATCATCAATTTTTACCCATTTTTTGGCTATTATCATGAAAAAAATCAGTTTCACAATTAAACTTTTTTTATACTTTCACTAAAGATGAAGTGGACCAATCTGAATAAATTTAAACTATAGGTTGGTGTTAATATTAGAATGTTTAATAAAATTTTGTTGCTTTTTCGTGTCAAATTGACCATACTGTCAATTTTGTAAATTTGTAATTTTTCTCTTTTTTTTTTTTTTAAACAAAAAGCATATTATTTCAACCTCTTTGTTATAAATGATTGAAAAGAAAAAAATTGATATGGGATTTACATATTTTGGTAAAATCATTTCTTTGTACTCCTCACCCATTTTCTCAACATTTTGTATGATGGCATTGACCGGTTATAAAATTTGAAAATGTTATTCCTCAAAAACTACTCATTGTAAGTAGACAATTTTTTCACAGAGTTAAGTTTGATTATAATATTTTTTAAATTCATTGCTATTTTCCACTTGTATAACATGTTTTGGAAATAATTCCCGAACGAGATTTCAACGAAACTGAAACATCAGAAGAATACATCCCTAAGTAAAGAAAGGAAACAAATATTTTTCAATAAACGCACTAAATGGTATGTTCAAGCTACAAATTATATCAAGTTTTATGCAAATGAAGCTTATATCTTTTCCTTTCTCTCTTTTTGTTTTCTGGACACAATCTCATTATTCTACCTAGTATGTTTAAAGACTCTCGGAAGCCCCCAGTTTTGAGAAGTTTTTGTTGTTCAATTTTTTGTGTTCTGTGTAGTATTTTTTCTTACTTTTTGATATATATATGTCGTCGATAAATCCATTGAAATATACGTGTACTAATATGTAAACACAGTATATATAAAGACTTACTTCATCTAAAATAGAATCATTGTTGTCAAGGTATTTCTGGAAATCTACTACTGGTTCTTTAATATCTAAAGTTCCATAAACAGAAGAACTTGTTCGTTCAGACTCGTTATATTTGGTGACTGCCATTTGGTAACGTGCCCAACTAGCTATTGGTTCATTTCCAGATCCTACCGGTAATAACTGATAAGTCATGCCTTTATTTAAAATTCTATAACTTTTAACATTTCCATATTTATCCTTGATTTGTTCGTTGTACATAACTAGGTACTTTGGGGTATCGAAATTAAAACGGCAAGCTGCGTCCTTTTCCGTTTCTTTGACAGAAGTATTAAACTTGAGTTGAATTAGTTTTTCATTAGGAACATGTGAGAACTTATTTACAATCTGTTCTGTATCTATATCTAATGTTGCAAATCTGTTTGATGTACCCTTAATATCCAGATCGGCTTTTACATGAAATAAATGCTGATGAATTGGTGCTCCAAAATTATCATGTAACTTGAATGTATATTTTTCATCATCTTTTGTATAGAATAACGCTCTTACATAACCAGTGCTCGTCACCTTGACTTCTTACGCTCCATTAGGATAGAAAATGAAATCTATTATATAGTCATAATTGCTGATTGTAGGAATGGTCCTTAAGACAAGAACTACACTCTCCATTCCTTCGTAAAATCTTCCGTTATCAAATGAGTAAGAATGATGCCTCCTATATGGCACACCTGTATTCAATTCAAACAGACAAAACGAGGTCGTTAATTCATATGCACTTACACCTCCTACATGGAAACTAGAGCCAATAAGGGTGACATCTTCAGGACAATCGACACCCGGAAATAGGACTTTTGATTGCAAGCCTATGAGTGTAATGCTATCCAGAATCTGTGCTAAAATATCATTTGGTTTAAAACCAGAATAAAATACAGAAATTTCCTGTATACTAAGTTCATAAGCAATGCGTTCGTTCTTAAATCGGATATCATGCAACTGCGGTCCATTTATTGTAGACATTCGAAAATCAAATTTCCAAAACATGTATTCAACATGACGTCCTTGAATATTGTATCGCTTACCATCAGGGGAAAACTGCTTTGGGTTTCTAAGCGGGGGGGGGGGGGGGGGGGGGTCCATTGGAGGAATGCCTCGCTGATTCAACGTAGTAAAATCTTCAGAGCTATATACTGGGAAAGAAGTTTTTGGAATGGTTTCTTTGTTTTGGTTATAAAATGTTAACACTTCAGTTACATTATTAAACAGTGAACTATTGAACCAAATCTTTTCAACAGTAAATACCTTAATATCTATATCGACAAGAACAGAAAAATCTAATGGCCGGTGTAGCGAATACTCTGACATCTGACTTAATGTCGCCCACATTTTTCTATTGTTTTCGCCAGAGAGTATAGGAGAAACATAACCAAAATTAAGACAAGAATCATTACAATTTGTAAGTCGTGCGCCAAAAATATCAATAAACATAGAACCAAGGAAAGGATCAATGTTTTCTTTCAAGAAATTCAAGACGTTTTGATATTCATTTCCGATAAATGGTGGGCGGTATATGAACTGGATTTTCTGAGGCCTAAATGGCACGGATTTGTAGTATATTGGCGTTGGTAGTGGACCAACTATGATTTCCTGAACATAAGGTGGTTGTTCATTTCCTCTGAATATGATAACATGAGCTTCTCTAGGTGGTTTCGTTCCATTCTTATCAAGGTAATTTAAGACATCTTGTTTCTCGGGTAAATATAAATCACTTAAAAAAATAAATTTTTTGTCTGTGTCAACGTCTTGAAAGTCTACGAGATTCAATTCTTGTTGATTATATAAAAACGCTGCAAGTCCTTCAATTTCAGCTCTTGTAAGATGAACGAATACAGAAGGAGTATCTGATAGTTCAAGGTTTATTTTTCCGTATTTTTCACTAGTGGTTGCACATGTTCCAATTTCTAGCTTGTCATTTTTTTCTGGATTGTTATTTTTTTCTACCTTGTTATTTTTGTCGTTTTTTATAACGACAACGATGAGTGCTATTGCTAACCCACTAGACAACAATCCGAGTATAAAAGCTATTATCCGCCATCTCTGTCCGGATATGTTGGTATTACTTGGTTCTACAAAACATATAATGAATACTACATTAAAGAATTTTTAATTATAAGAAAGTGTTCAGTATCTAAAAGCGTCAAATGTTTTTAATTTCCTTCTTTTATTCCTGTTTAAGTGCTTATAGCCAATAATAACTAACATAATCGGGTTTTTTTTTCATTTTGCTATTTCTTGTCGGATGAAAATTATAAGTAAAATTATTTTTAGTTCTGTTTTCAATACCGTATAAGATTTTTTTTTAATTTCTACATTTTTTTGTGCAAGATTTTTTTTTTATAAAAATTTATCTTTATTTTTTGATATACGGATTTAAGGATAAGAAAATATGTCAATAAAATTGAATACATCACCTTTCACGTAGATATCATATGATTTTGTCATTTCCATATTGACCGTTGAAAACCTTCCAGAGAGGAAATTCTTTTTGTAGGTTAAGTTTACAATCTAAAATAAAATCATATAATTTATACTTCTAAACCTGCACCTTACAACGCAGGAGTCATCGTGTACCATAAGGTTCCTACTTCTAAACCTGCACCTTACAACGCAGGAGTCATGGTGTACCATAAGGTTCCTACTTCTTAACCTGCACCTTACAACGCAGGAGTCATGGTGTACCATAAGTTTACTACTTCTAAACCTGCACCTTACAACGCAGGAGTCATGGTGTACCATAAGGTTCCTACTTCTAAACCTGCACCTTACAACGCAGGAGTCATGGTGTACCATAAGGTTCCTACTTCTAAACCTGCACCTTACAACGCAGGAGTCATGGTGTACCATAAGTTTACTACTTCTAAACCTGCACCTTACAACGCAGGAGTCATGGTGTACCATAAGGTTCCTACTTCTATCTTCAGCCACTAAATGTTCCACTATACACATTTCGGTCCTTTTAACTAATAAAAAAACTTTTTTAAAGGTTATGACCAAATTTATAAATATAGTTAGATGTTTCAAAACTACCTGCAGATATTCGGACTATATATTCTGGGAAACCAATTCAGATCTTTTTTAAAATAGAAAGGAAATTTATCATGCCTCACCAGCAAACTATTATCAATTCTAACATAAAAATGATAAATTCTGTCCTTGGATACTCGTTTATTTCTCTGTTTTGAGGGGAATTTTTTTTAAATTAAAATAAAATTGCTATCCAGGGATGTAAGAGTTACTGGTATATGATAATTTAGAATTACACAGAATAAAATGAAATTACTATCCAGGGATGTGAGGCTTACATGTTTTTGATAATTTAGAAATGGCAACTGTACTCACATTCAATTATTTGATGTTAATAGTAGTTGACTTTTATGATATGAATGATGGGAACGAGCTGTTTTACCTGCGTACATTAAACATTTTGAATCATTTGACCAAACAATAGGTAGGTCCGTAGGTAGGAATTATTTCTATTTTATTTGAGCAAGTTAAAAAAAATCGACGATTTTATTCTCAATGAATATTTCAACAGGCGGAAACCCAGTTGAAAGAGAACAAAAGAATCGAAGCTCTTTGTTAGAGAAGGCGATAAATGCTTACTGTAATGTTTACTATAGTAACAAAATTTTTAAAAGTTAATAGAAACAAATAAAATGACAGTTTTCGGCTAAATTACGATGTATTTTTTCATAAAAACACAATTTGCATAAGTTTTCAATTTATCTATTACATAATTAAGCAGAACAATTAGATACCAAGTCGACGACATGGTTGTCTATTCAGTTGGATCTAAAAAATGCATAACCTCCGATTTTTTATTTTTTTTTTACCACGGACGGAGAACATATCAATCTATTTGTTCCTTAATTTTCGTTTCTGCCCTTCCATTATGTAACTCAAGAAAAAATTCAAAAAATGGGTAACAATTGCATCGAAAAGATCAAATCGAGTGCACTTTTTTATGTTAGGGCGTGTTTGAGTTAAATATTTTGTCTTGAAAACGTATAAAGCAAGAGTATTTGATACATCATCTCGCTTCAGATTCTATTAATTTTATATATCAAGGCTACAGGTTGACTTTATAACATCGAAAGTTCACAGTACTGAAAAATTAAATATATGGGTCAAGTGAAATACCTTTCTAATGAATCACAAAAACAGAATAGGTGTGTTTGAATAGCAAATTTTTACTAAAAGTACTTGACGACTGACTTTTAAGTTGGATCTTAAAAATGCATATCTTCGAAAAAACTTCATTTTTTGTGTGTGATAATGAGGGTTTATAGTCTTCAACCACTGAAAATTTTTAGTCTGCCCTTCCACGAAATATTTAATTAGAATTTTTTTAAATGTTTATGAATTTCCAAAAATTCCACCTGACAACCGATCCGACAATAGTTTTAAGTTGACTGAATGCAGACAAGTACATTAACTGATGCTCATTAGCTAGTAGATACATTTGTCTTTTAAAATACACCTGGCATATAAGGATCGTAATGGTGCTATGTGGATAAATTTATCGGTTTTCAAGAGCTAAATTGGAAGCGCGTCATCCCTAAAATGGCTTCCATTTTTACGATTGTAAAAATGAACTGGCGTAATGGGGAGATAATTTTGACGAAGTAGAATCCTGACTGTCAAGGTGTGGTGTACTTCTATTGGGTGAAATTATATCAAAATTTTTGAAAAAAATCATCATTGTGAAAACAATATCGGTAATTGGAAATGTGGAAGATACAAGAGCGACCATTAACATTGACGATATTCCAAAAATAGACATCTGCAGGCAACAATTAAGACACTGTTTTACTAATAAGCTGCTAATATTCACATAAAAAAACTTTCAAAATGGTGAGAATTAAAGGCGGGAATTTTACCCCCTTAATGAAAAATCAGCCTTCTGGCGAACTGTTGCGGCAGATCTGCCGCAAACACTGCGGTAAGGTTGCTGCAAATAGTTTGCGGCAACTTCACCGCGACTTTTTACCATGCAAATGAAGGTTGCGGCAGACTTGCCGCAAAGTTTGATAGCCTTATATAGTTTGTGGTGAACTTCTGGCGACTATTTGTGGTGAACCTCTGGCGAACTTTGATAGCCTTATATAGTTTGTGGCGAACCTCTGGCAATTTTTGTGGTGAACTTCCGGCAAACTTTAAAAGCCTTATATAGTTTGCGGTGAACTTCTGGCAAATCAAATGATAATGATGCCCTATGACTACCTTTCTGTTAATTCTTTTTCAAAACTGTACGTCTCATTCAAAACATGCACATATGGATCAAAATTTAGATTGTATTAATTATTATGACCAATAATTGTTATTTACCTGCTCACCTTCTGATCAAAATTTCTTTAAAAAAAAAAAAAAACAATATAGGTACATGTATATCTATTAATTTACTCAGTGCAGAATTCAGAATGAGCTGATTAATTTCTTAACAGATTCATATGTATTAAAAAAATCAAGAACAGATCTGTTTTCATAAGGCCAAATTTATAAAGAAACTGGGATTAAGGCATTATACATTTATACTGTATTAAGCATAAAATTATATCTAAAATATTAATCAAATGTGATTTAACAATAAAGAATTACAAATTATTTGAACATAAAAAGACCATTCCTGCAAAACATCATTATCCACATAGTTTAATTAGTTTACAACTGTTATGATATTTCTCTAAGAGCAGTAAGGGTGTAACAAAATTGTTATTTTCAAAATGGGGGTTCTTTGCCATACATTTTGTACCAATAATAACAAATTAACATGCAAAAAATGTCTAAAATGACTTACAAAGAGATGATCAATGATGCATGGCCTGTTCCAGGAACTAATTGAATCATATATAACTCAGACATCTATCATATATAACATCCATTTACTTTATACATGAAAACACCAACATTAAAACTTCCCTCCTATTTCAAATTTAAAGAAGCAGGAAGTCTGATTTTAGTGCAGGGAGCATGCTCAGTATGCTATAAAGTTTGCGGCAAAGTTCCAGCAAACTTTAGGACTGCTTTAAAGTTTGTTTACAAAATTCCTTCAATTTTAAGAAAGTTAAGAGTTTGCGGCAAACTTTTACATTTGTTTGCCGAAAGGTTGCTGCTAGCGGCGCACACTGGTGAACAATTTTCAGGTCTTCTGGCGAACTAAAAAGATTGCCGCAAGTTTGCTGCAACCTTACCGCAAGGTCACAATTTGTCACAATTAAGAGACTGCATCAGAGGAAAGTTCAAATTGTTTGCAAATGAAATAATTGGGATGGTACCATTCATAAAGGAAATTTCAAAAGTTTAAAATGTACTTTGAACGCTAAATGATGGCAGTATCTCACAGTCGTAGGAGCAAATAGATGGACTTACGAGCTTCAATTCCGTGTACTTCGAACGCTAAATGATGGCAGTATCTCACAGTCGTAGGAGCAGATGGACTTACGAGCTTCAATTCATGGCTATATACATGCAAGGAGTCATTTAAAAAAAAATATATATATGAGACATGCAAGATTAACTTACAGCAGTCACTGGTGTTGTTATTTCCTCACCGGAAGGCTCTCCTTCCATCAACTATATTCACCCTTTTATTTCTATTTATAACTAAACAGTATATTTACATATCTCAAATAGCTCGTAAAGAAGATTTTCCATTTAAAATTCAGCTGATATTTACGAAAAGAATTGTAACTTTGGAATTTTTTTCATGTGTGACGAATAAACGGCTGTTATTCGGTATATCGAGAAAAATGATCGTGAAAGAATAAGTAACGGTGGTCAAGTATCTGGTATCGGACCGTGAAAGCAATTAAATATACAATTCAGCTGCAAAATCTGTAATAATATACGTTGTTTTATTAACAGGTGGAAAAGAAGTCTAATAATGGTTGAAATTGTTAATTAGACTAAGTAATAATTTTTCCCTCTCCTTTTCCAAAATCCGTTTTTTTTTCTAATTTCAATCATTTTCGTGTTGGACAAATGTATTATCTACTAAAAACAACATGTGTTTACTACTTACTATCAATTAATTGGTAATTTACTATCCACGGCGGTCATTGTGAGGATGGATAGATGGCTGTTTTATGTCCAATGGCAAATCCAATACAAAATGGAGTCACTGCTGTTCTTCTCTCGTGTCGGATACTGTATTTTTACCTTTTAAATCTAGAAGACGTTTTTCGAAATAGATGTATTATATTTCGAAATGGTATCTACTCGATGCAGAGGTTGAAAAATAAGACTGTTTTTTTTAAAATGTGATTTTAAGATTTATATTACAAAATGTACTGAATATCATTTGAATCTTATGTCATAACTGAAAGGTACGGATGTCAACGTATATTTGTTCATAAAAAACAAATGTCCCTTAAGAAACAGTATTATAGACAATTTCATTATGAATATTCCTTATGTAACAAATCTTCCATAACTCATGGAATAAAGGTTAAGAGCTCCCAAAATATTTGTTTCCATTTGGAACATCAACATGGAGAAGGGGATTGCAGAAAGAAAATGGATCCAGAAGAAAGAAGAGAAGGGAAGCCGAGATAAAAGAGTAGGGGATGAGAGAAAAAAATCCCCTTCCCACCCTTATAAATTTTAAAAAGCTAAATATAATTGGTGTTTTTTTACATTTTCAAAATCAATAGGATTCTTTAACTTAAAGGGCTTTTTCCTCAAAGTTAGAAGTTTTGGAGGGTCATACCGTGAAAAACTGTCTTATCATATAATACGATGGAAGTCTGGCGTTGGGCGGATGGACGTGCTGGCGACCGTGGAAAGGGGGTATAATTTTGTGCCAAAAAAAAACTCTCCCACAGTTTTTATCTTGAGAGCTTTTGCACAATGTATACATATATTTTTTCTCTCCTTTTATGGATTCATTTTGGATATATTATGCAGATTTTCAGGAGGTTGAAAATAAGTGATTTTTTTGTGCAAAATCCATATTAAACTTTGCAAATAATCTTATGTATAATAATCTGTTTAATGAAATCTCGGGAATATATATGCAATGTGTGTTTCCTTTCATATTATACTGTGACCTGTTATTGTAAACAAGAAAACAAATGATTATAATAATTCTGTAAGTTTGCCCACAGGTACAAGTTGAGATTTGTTTCAGTAATAATACTGAATACACTAACGTTAGTGTATTCAGTATATATAAATAAGTTAAAAAAATCTCGTCTTGTACCTGTGTACTTGTCAACCTCTGAAAATGAAACAGAGGTTAAGATTTTTCTATAGAGTGGTTAAGGTCCCGGTACCAGCGATGCCGCCTTCCAACCACATAATCTTAAACAAATGAAGACGCCAATCAAACCTAAAAATTTCATTACTATTACATGGAGGAACATTGTGGAAAGAAAATCCCGCATTAATACAAAAGCATTCAAAATCCAGTATTCATCAACCGACCTAAAGTCTGTTCAAGGTGACTAATTGACAAACATATCAAGGGTCTATTGTCAGCAACTGATTGACTTACGCATCAAGAGTATGTTCTCGGTGACTGATTGACTAACACATCAAGAGTCTGTTCTCAGAGACTGATTGACTTACATATCAAGAGTCATTTCTCAACGACTGATTGAATTACACCCCAAAAGTCTGTTCTAAGCAACTGATTGACTAGCACATCAAGAGTCTGTTCTCAGTGACTAATTGACAAACACATCAAGAGTCTGTTCTAAACGAATGATTGACTAACTCATCAAGAGTCTGTTCTCAGCAACTGATTGACTAACATGTCAAGCGACTGTTCTCAGTGACTGAATGACTAACGCAACAAAAGTCTGTTCACTGTGACTAATTGACAAACATGTCAAGAGTCTGTTGTCAGCAGCTGATTGACTTCCACATCAAGAGTGTTCTCAGTGACTGATTAACCAGGGGCGGATCCAGCCATTTTTAAAAGGGGGTTCCCAACCCAGGATAAAGGGGGGGGGGGGGGTTCCAACTATATGTCCTCATTCAAATGAATTGATCGTCAAAAAAGGGAACCCCCGGAACCCCCCCTGATTAACTAACACATCAAGAGTGTGTTCTCAGTGACTGATTGACTTACGTATCAAGAGTCTGTTCTCAACGACTGATTGAATAACACATCAAGAGTCTGTTCTCGGTGACTGATTAACTAACACATCAAGAGTGCGTTCTCAGTGACTGATTGACTTACATATCAAGAGTCTGTTCTCAACGACTGATTGAATTACACATCAAGAGTCTGTTCTAAGCAACTGATTGACTAACACATCAAGAGTGTGTTCTCAGTGACTGATTGACTTACATATCAAGAGTCTGTTCTCAATGACTGATTGAATTACACATCAAGAGTCTGTTCTCAGTGACTGATTAACTAACACATCAAGAGTGTGTTCTCAGTGACTGATTGACTTACGTATCAAGAGTCTGTTCTCAACGACTGATTGAATAACACATCAAGAGTATGTTCTCAGTGACTGATTAACTAACACATCAAGAGTGTGTTCTCAGTGACTGATTGACTTACATATCAAGAGTCTGTTCTCAACGACTGATTGAATAACACATCAAGAGTATGTTCTCAGTGACTGATTAACTAACACATCAAGAGTGTGTTCTCAGTGACTGATTGACTTACATATCAAGAGTCTGTTCCCAACGACTGATTGACTTACATATCAAGAGTCTGTTCTAAGCAACTGATTGAATTACACATCAAGAGTCTGTTCTAAGCAAGAGTCTGTTCTAAGCAACTGATTGAATTACACATCAAGAGTCTGTTCTAAGCAACTGATTGACTAACACATCAAGAGTCTGTTCTCAATGACTGATTGACGAACACATCAAGAGTATGTTCTCAGTGAATGATTGACGAACACATCAAGAGTATGTTCTCAGTGACTGATTGACTTACACATCAAGAGTCTGTTCTAAGCAACTGATTGACTAAAACCTCAAGAGTCTGTTCTCAGCAACTGATTGACTTACACATCAAGAGTCTTAATGATCATAATCTTAATGTTTTAGTCAATCAGTTGCTGAGAACAGACTCTTGATATGTAAGTCAATCAGTCGCTGAGAACAGACTCTTGATGTGTTTGTCAATTAGTCACCGAGAACAGACTCTTTGATGTGAGAGTCAATCAGTCACTGAGAACAGATTTTTGAGGTGTTAGTCCATCAGTTGCTGAGAACAGACTCTTGACATGTTAGTCAATCAGTTGCTTCGAACAATCTCTTGAGATGTTAGTCAATCAGTTGCTGAGAACAGACTCTTGATGTGTTAGTCAATCAGTTGCTTCGAACACTCTTGATGTGTAAGTCAATCAGTCACTGAGAACAGACTCTTGACATGTTAGTCAATCGTTGCTTCGAACAGACTCTTGATGTGTTAGTCAATCAGTTGCTGAGAACAGACTCTTGATGTAGGATATCTATCTTGTTGCCATTAAATGAGGCCTTCTTTGAGGTGTGTTATTTTGTATAAAAGGCAATTACACAACATGATGAGGATGATAATGGTTGGCTGTTTAAAGTCCAAGTGCTATTTCACAAGGTAATAGTCCTCTGGAAGACATATCTCCCTACCTGAACACAGTATTCTGACTCCGAGCCATCCAGTCTTTGCTCTTACTCCCTAATGCCGTATTCTTAATGGAGAAGCAGCAAATACCATTTTTAGTCTGGTTTGACCTGGCCAAGGAAAACAGAAGTTAAAGCCACCAAAATATTATCATAGTTAACATTTATATTAAAAGCTCATACATTTGAATGAAAAAAGGCTGAATTTCAATGTATCAGTATGTTTTTATTTACTTTTGTAAGAGCCATACTAGTATATTTGGTCAGCTTATATCAGTTCAAATCTATGGTTTTATGTTTAGAGGAATCTTTTTATTTTCAGGAATAGTGTTTATGAAATAACTTTCATCAGTTCTGGTAACCAAAAGATTGGAAAGCCCCCCAAAAAAGTTTGGGATCACAAGAACCCTAACGGCCTAAACAAAACAAACAAAACAATCTAATGTTATCTTTCTTTGAGAAAGTTTCAACCTTAATTATAGTACAGTTATATTTCTAGAAACCTACACACAAAAAGTATCATTCAAATCATACCAGTACCAAAGCACTGGCTAGAGGGGCAGATGTTACCCTCAGAGACTGATAGTCTACTAGTAGTATATATTAAATGTCTAACAAAAAACATTAATGACATATCTAATTTCATTTGGCAAACAAGATTTCATGAAGCTTTTTCTATATTTTTTCCACAGGCTCTTATTAAAGTGCAGCTATTTTTGTTGGATGTTTACTTACAAGTGACTGAAAGAGTGAACAAGAGTGCATGCACTGAAATGTCTTGCCTGTTTTACTGACCAATGATGTTATGTTGAAAGTCTTAAAGATGAAGATTTTACTACCAATATCACATAAACTTAAAATTTTTAAAGAGCCATGACAATGAGGCCAAGGTAAGATAAATCCTGCCAGACAGACATGTACACCTTACAATTATTCTATACACAAAATAAAGTTGACCTATTGCTTATGGTAATTGAAAAAAGGACCAAAACACAAAAACTTAACATTGACTAATGAACTATGAAAATGAGGTCAAGGTCAAATTATACCTACCAGACAGACATGTACACTTTACAATCATTCCATACACCAAATATAGTTGACATACTGCTTATAGTATTTTAAAAACAGACCAAAACACAAAAACTAAATATTGACCAATGAACCATGAAAATGAAGTCACAGTCCAATTATACCTGCCAGACAGACATGTATACCTTACAATCATTCCATACACCAAACATAGTTGACAAACTGCTTATAGTATTTGAAAAACAGACCAAAACACAAAAACTAAACATTGACCAATGAACCATGAAAATGAGGTCAAGGTCCAATTATACCTGCCTGACAGACATGTACACCTTACAATCATTCCATACACCAAACATAGTTGACCTACTGCTTATAGTATCTGAGAAATGGACCTAATCACGTAAAATTAGCCTTGATCACTGATCCATATAATGAGGTGAACTCTGTCTGACAGACATGTAGAGTTGCAAGAAATCCATATACCAAATATAGTTATCATATTGCTCATAATAAGTCAGAAATTCACATGACAAAAAAATGTAATCTTTTTTCACACAGTCGCTGAACCATGAAAATGAGGTCAAGGACAATAAAAATATGACAGAAGAAAACTTCTTAACATAAGCTATCTGCATACAAGGTATGAAGCATCCAGGTCTTCTACCTTCTGAAATATAAAGCTTTATACAAATGGTTTACATCGCTGCTGTCCCTGCTGCCGGATAGTAATCCCTATGTCTCACATACTGCGACTTTTGTTGCAGGCGAGACAATAAAAAACTCAATATTTAATATTTCATACATCTTAATAAACATGCAAATCAATTATACATGTAACAGTAATCCCTATGTAAATATGCATAACAATAGTTTACAAACAGTTTCATATCATGCAAAATTTTATTCAAAGGGAAAACAAATAATTTTGCCTTCTCTTCTGTGTTGTCATTCAACTTCATTATTTGTTCATACATTTGTATTTGACTGAATCTGCTTTTAACACAAGCACAATGATCTTATTACCATTGCAAAATTCCAACAATCTTTTGATGTTTTTAGGTCTTAAATTGAGAGAAACCAACAAAATCATATTCATACATCTTTGAACCGTGGTATCACTGGTAAAATCAGATTTCCAAAAGACGAATCTTGTGTGATGAAATATCCAAAAGAATTTGCATTGGCATGCTGAAAAAAAAAACACAAAGTATAAATTTATCACATGATTAGATGTCAAATGAACTCATCTGCATAATTTATTTAAACAAATTCAAATAAAATTCAAACTGAATAATATGTGGAAAGACTATGAGATCAAGGTCAAATTTCATGTATCAAAAGGTTAAATCACATAGCAGGCTTAAGATATCAGGTCTAACATAATTAAATGGAATAACAACTAAAGTAAAGTTGTGCATTTAATAAATACCTGAAAAACTGACCTGATATGAAAATATTCAATAACAAGAATGTGTCCATAGTACACGGATGCCCCACTCACACTATCATTTTCTATGTTCAGTGGACCGTGAAATTGGGGTCAAATCTCTAATTTGGCATTAAATTAGAAAAATCATATCATATGGAACATGTGTACTAAGTTTCAAGTTGATTGGACTTCAACTTCATCAAAAAATACCTTGACCAAAAACTTTAACCTGACACGGTACAGACGGACGAACGAACGGACGGACAGGGGTAAATTTATAGGCCCCAACATTTTGTCGCGGGGGCATAAAAAGTAGGTCTTGGTGATGTTCTTAGGCCTATCTTCATTCTATTATGATCATTATAAAATAAAATAACTCTGTGGTAAATAAAGGTGTCATTCAGGCATACCAGTAATCAGACCAGTACATACAGAACGTATTTATAGTTCATTGTTTCCTTGTACATTTACCAGACATCTTTTAATGTTATCAATACTACTCATATGAAGTCATTTAAGAAATTGTACCTGTAATGCTGCTCTTTGAGCTGGTGTCATGTTGTGAGTCTCCATTACAAGTGTTGACTGAGAATAAACAATGTAAAATATTATATATCTTACTAAAACAGCATTATGTTTGCATTATTGTCCTTTTGTCATTATGGATAGTTGTTTTATTGGGAATCATTCCATTTTTCTTTTTTATAATAAAAATAGTTATTTTGCTCTGCTATTTTTATTACATGTTATCTGAGGTTGTCTGATGCCCGGTGTACCTTAATTTTTCCCCTATATCCATTTTTATTCTAAATTACGTATTTAATCTTCAAAAGAGAAAGATTGCTTCCCTTAAATGTTTTGTTAACAAGAATAATTCAAGCAAAATGTTTTAAATATTGATACAAGCTTTTACCTCTATATACAGTACTGAAGAACTATCTACATTGTTTTTTTTGGTGCAAACAGATAAACTTAAAGCAATTAACATACTCAAGATTCAAGCTTTGACAGAGGTAGGGTTTTTCTTTCTTATTATTGTGGCAGAAAAGGGTATTTATTTTCTTTTTTGGCTTTTGGCTTTTTTACAGAATACTATGTTATCAATTTAAGAAAAAATATACAGGCTTCAACCATTTGTTTCGAATAAAGGGACATTTAGAAAGGATATTTTATCCTATCTTTGATAAAATGAAAAAAAAATGGATAGCACTTTCTGAGTGATATAGACAGTGAAATTGGTTTTACTCACAGAAGGATTGGCTGGTAAGGCTGGCTGCTGAACTGCAGGAGGAGTACTAAAAAGTCAATGTTTTCATAAATAAGATATCAATTTGTTCAATGTAAGGCTTAATACGTGTTAATTAAAAAAAAAAAAAGTCAAGCACTATAAGTCTTAGCTTTAGTTTTTAAAAGAAGTCACAAGTTCACAACTACTAACACAAATTCTAACAACCTGTAGATGTTGTCCCAAGTCATAAGTCCTTGATCCAATTTACTAGTTATGACCAATCAGTAACTTTACAAGGTACACCAAATATAAAATAAATCAATCATATACTGTAAACCAACTTGTTTTTGCAAATACTTTATTTCTTGTTTAGCCCTTTCTAGCCCACTTTGCTGCAAAATTATTTTGCGATTCCAAATTTACTTGATGTATTTAAATAAGGGAAGATCCAAGTTTTACATATTTTCTATGATTTATATTTGTGTTATTTTTCTACTTGCAAAAATGAGTTGGTTTACAGTATATTAAATAAATGTACAAACTATGTAGATGTAATTACTTATGAAGTCCTTTATATAGTAATGGTACAGCTATGACCAGTGGCAAGTCATCTTACTACACAAAATTAAACTAAATTATAATAATAAACCTTTGGTGAAATAAGTTGTTGTAAGATCTTTTGTGAAAAGTGTCATATTATTAGTTGTTTTATTTTTACTCCAATTTACTTTCCGATTAATAAAACAGGAATCTATAGACTCAACACTAAACTGTTCTATTAACTCATTTATGTTCTTCTTGCAGTGTATCCATAATACAAGGAATATTAAAAAATCTAAAATGATGATTAAAATAATAATGCTGAAATAAAGAATATTAAAAATTCAATTTCATAACTGTAAATTCAGAAATTATTGTGTGCCTTTATTATTGCAATTTTTGAAGAATGGACAAAACTGCTCGATTTATTATAGCGATTTCAATTCTAGCTTGCAAGCTCTTATTATTGTGATACTAATCCGTTGGCATTATTCGCATTACTAAAAACCTCACAATAAATAATTTCTGACTTAATTGTTTATTGCTGATACATGTTTCTTTGTCATAATGTTGAATATTCTATTCTAAATAGGTTGTTTCAAACATTGTATATTTTGATGGATGATTTTTTTTAAAACAACCAGTGGATAATCTTTCATCCTTATTCAGGATAAGAATAATATAATGTATAAATATGAACCACATTTCCTACTAGACTGCGACATATCTTAACCTTCTAGTCAAAAAGGTAGCAGTCAACAGTAAGACATACCAACATTCCTTTTTATTCATATATCATTCTACCCAGATACATGTTTCAAAGCCAACCTGGCTGTTCTTAATCCTAAATGATGCACACATGGGGAACAACAGAAAATACCAAATTGAAAATACTAGCTGTTGACGTAACTCATTGCCTTCCTAACTCATGATGAGCATGCCTCAACAAGTCCACAAAAGATTCTATTTTATATGCAAAGATATTATTTATATTTAGTCTGAATGTTCTACATATAACATGTTAATAGCTGACATTTTCATAATTTAGTTTCACTATAACATGCCTAACCTGATGGCCATAGGATTATTTTCACTATAACATGCCTAACCTGATGGCTATAGGATTAGTTTCACTATAACATGCCTAACCTGATGGCCATAGGATTAGTTTCACTATAACATGCCTAACCTGATGGCCATAGGATTTGCTGGACCTGGATGTCCTCCCATTCTTAATCTTTTCTTCTGTTCTTCTAACTGTTCAAGAATTTTTCTGTTCTTTTGTTCTGGAAAATTTGATTACATTTTATATATACGTGTAATGTTAAGGTACCAATTACTTGTTTTTTTTCCGTACAAGTTCTGTAGAATATCAGCTGCAAGTGACAATAGGAAGGTTTTTGTTGAGAGAGTATAGAAAACAAATCCACCAAGCTGATTTGATTTCAAATATTTTATTTTCATAATTTGAAATGCCAAATGACAATATTTCAAATTAAAACATTACACAAATACTTAGTACATGTAGTTAACCTTGAATTCGAGTGATTGTAGATAAATCACTCTTAAACAGCTCCCTTTACATGTTTATCCAATGGGTATTACATGGCAGAGTAATAAATCCTTACCATCCTATTTTAATTTATGCTAACAATAGGATTCATTCTTAATTGAACTGCCTTTAGTGCACTGTATTGATAATCAACCTCATCTGGATGCAGTTGATGGACAGATAAATGAATTACTGCAAACAGAAACCTATGCAATTTAGTGTTAAGGCAAACAGAGCCAGCTTCTCATCTTGCATGTCTTACAAAGAACATTAAAATATATTTATTAACTGATGATATGATTTTCCAACAGAATCCAATTTAGTCTTACCCCTTTGTTTCAACCAAAAAATGAGAGAAATCAACTGTAATATTGGAATGATAGTTATTCTTTTTAGATTTGAGTACATATTATATTAGATCTCACTTCAATAATATTCAAAACAAAATCAAAGCACCATCAAAACACTAAACCAGCTAATCTGACTTGACAACAAAAGCATGTTATCCTTGCATATATATAATTTATACATTACATCATTTCTTTACAACTGTCAGTCAGGGGTACCACTTGTACAAGTTATTTTATTTACTTGAAGAAGTAAATAATGATATACTTATATAAGTAAATATTTTATATTCATATTTTCTTATAAAGTTTGAATAATCTCCCCTTAATTTTCTCAAAAAATTTACTTGTACTTATATAAGTAAATTTTGTTTACAATCCCTAAAATTCTCAAGTTTTGAGATATAAAAACATGCCTTAAACAATTTTTCTTTGGTTAGCTCATAATTTTTTATTAGAGTTCAATGTTTCATCTCATTAATTCAACAGAGAAACTATTTGCACAAAGATCTTCAGTAATTGCGCAAGGCCATCAAATATTGCCCCTTGGAGGCTTGTAAATGTGCAGTGTTTTGAAGATAACAGACAAATGAGATTCTCATTGACCATGAAATTGCACGTCAATGGTTAGTAAAGACATCTGCAAAGGACAAACAATTAAAAATTCTATTAGAGCAAAGAAGTCCTGAGAAATTCAAGAAAAGAAGATAGTATGACTTTTTTACTTGTGTAAGTAAAAAAATCTGAATGTCTAAGCTGGGACTATTATACTAACAGTTAGTATAATAGTCCCAGGTCTAAGGGACATAACTAAGCCATTAAAATAACTTACCTATACAAGTAAATAAAATACACTTGTATAAGTATCTTACTTACAAAAGTATATTAATAAGGGACGAAGTCCCCTATAACGGTAGAAAAATCAATAAAAAAAAAAAAAAAAAAAAAAAAATCGGGGAAATTTCCTGAAATTTTCATTCTACTAATGAACTCAAAATCGTTAACTTTTTTTAAAAATTTTTATTTTCAGACTTTTTTATTTTCCCGCATTTGCGCAGAAATCTACTTCCTTTTTCTGGTCTCGTTTGCATGAGTCTTTGAGTAAAATATATATTTATCAGTCTAGTAAAATATAGGAAGGAACGCAATACCAATTCCATTTTTAATAATTCCTTGAATGGCTTGATATGAAAAAAACGTTACCTGATCGCGTTCCTTTGTTTACATTGAATATGACGTCATAACATAAATTAAATAACGTCACAACTAAAATCCCGAACAACAGAACCGAAATTGGAAACGTAAGGGTATTTCCGTTTCTTTTTTAACAGATTTTGAAGTTAAAATATGTTTGAATTAAAAAAAAAATAATTCATACAGACTTCGTCCCCTTTCACAGGTAACGCCTGCCTCATATTATTAACTTCTTCAAGTAAATAAATATAACTTGTACAAGTAGTACCCCTGACTGACTGTTTCATTCAAAGCAGTTGTAGAAGCTATCTATAGTTTGCAACCCTTCCCCTCGCTTTTTCAACTTTTCCCGTCGCTAATGATTGAAGTCCTAAGATATTTCTTTATTACGGTCACCTTGTCCCATAGACATTGTAAGGATCTGATAGCACTGCCTTTTGGGCCCTTATTGATGTGATGTACAAAAAAATAAATCACCGCTTACACCGTTGAAAAATATTTTTCGCTCCTGTTAAAGCGGAAATGATTGGCTGTTATCTCACTATAGTCGAATCAGAGATAACTTAACATTTTCCCAATTTATAGCATATTTATAATATCGTAAGGAATATCAGAAAAATATGGCAGATACAGGCTACAGTTCAGGCTCTAAAGATGAAGAAAACGACTCTCCTACGAAATCAGAGGAAAAAAGAGCTTTCAAAGACCCTTTGATCAGTGGTCTAGATGTCACAGACGATGCTGATGTTTGTTACTTCTCAGACTTTGCCATTTTCCTCAATTATAATTTATGTTAATAAATGATGGGCGGATATTTACAAACTAAAGATGTTTACTCTAGCTTTATGTGTTATTAAATCATACCACAATTGAAATTATATTAGAATTTATGTATGGCATGGACAAATTTTAGTTGCCAATCATCTGTCTTTGTGTTTCTTTTGAAAATTAAACCTTTGCAATTAAGTTGCCCTGTTTATGATGTTTTGTGTTCTTTTCCACCATGAACACAGCAAAGTTTAAACTGTCCATACACTAGTTCTTTGTTGAAGTTTTTATTTGGAGCAAGGAACTGCATGGTTTTTATTGATTGCCCAAGGACATTTTGAGAACACCAATTTGCTGAGTTTTGTAATCAGTCAGAGATATAACTCTATAGGGTTATTACAGAAAATAACTTGCGTGTGTTATTACAGATACTTTCATGAGTTGTCTACTCTTTATTCCTTAAATTTTCTAAATCTGCAATAACATATGTTTGTTATTTGTAAAATAAATAAAAAATATCTTAATTTATAATGGGCTCTAGGGAACTCTTTGAGACTTTGCGCAGAAACTAAATGCATAGCCTTGATAATTAATTTTCTAATTAAATTAATACATTTTTGATTAACCATGGTAAATCAATGAGACGAGGCTTTTAAGGGATAAAATTAGCTGTAATAACATAGCTTATTTATTAAAGGAATGTAACCTATTATATGAGACAGTTGGGAATTACTGGGAAGCTTGCGCAGAACCTCATTACATGCTCTGGTCATTATTTCTTACAATAAATTAAAATACATTGTAATTAAGCATGATGTATGTCTGAGAAAATGTTTTGAAGTGATATAGAGAAGCTGTGATAACACCCTTTAGTTATTACAGGCATATTTTTTCTGTAATAACATATAGGTGTACTATGCAAAATTGGCAAACTATGAACTGTTATATCTTTCTATAGTTAAGTATACATAAAGACAATAGTAATATCAATAGAACTTGTATGCATTTTAACTAAACTAGTGATGTATATTGTCCCTTTGAAACATGTAACATACATATGTAATCACAGTTCTTTGATTTTTTAGTCCACAATAACAAATGTATGTTATTTTTCTGTAATAACCCTATAGAGTTATATCCCTGACTGGTAATACATTTGTAGTATGTAAATTTAAAGAAAATATCAAAATTTCAATAGAGCTGGCAAAATAGCAAATTAACAGTTTTGGCAGCCCAGGTAGAAATATCATATTTTGTATTTTGCCGGCGCATTACCTAACTTATACAGGTTAAGCACAACCCACCAACATGACCAAATTGTGAACTATAATCTAATAATCTGAAATGAAAATAAATTAGCTGAGTCTTTTTACTTAATGTTTATAATAAGGAATAGATAAATATGGCTGTGTTGAAGAGAATCTCTTTTAGTACAGACAAACCTGTGCACCTGGAAAAGTATTAATCATGGCTGGACCTAGATATATAAAAGTTAAATCCATTTTGTGGTTCAGAAATTTTTTTGAAAAGTGTCATTTTACTTACGGAAGGTTTCCAATGGTTCTGTTGCCTATCCGTGTTAGTTTGTTTTTGGGTTTAAAAAAACCAATTATTATGCCATGTCCATTTCAAATTAGACAGCAACCCAGTGAAACAAAAACAAAAAAACTTTAAAACATCCAGACATTACACATGGTATTAAGTAATAGATAAGTGCCTTTACGGTATATTAAGATCTTAACTGCCAAGTGTAACTGGGGTATAGGATCTTTTGGTCTTCTTTGGCAAACAAGTTTTGAGAAAGATGTTTAACACACATCAAAATGCAAAATATAATCTGCAACTTAAATTTCTCTCCAGTTGTACGAAAATAACATTCCAAAGGATTGCTGTCTTATTTTTTGTATAAAAAAGGGCAGAACTCAGTAAGGCAGCTTGACATGTTGTGTTTATATTGGGTCCTTCATTATATACATTGTATTTGATAAAATTTGAAGAAAATGGTGGCATATTTCACAAATTATTTGGTTTTTAAATGAATATTTGTTTACATTTAGCCATTTGCCAGATTTCAGGCCTAAATACAATCTGTCTTTTTTTTCTTTTCCAGATGGAGAGTTTAAGTTTGGATGCATCAGGAAAGTCTGACATCAGTGTTTCCAGAAGTTCTAGTCTTATAGCCAATTTAAGTCATTTTGAAGATGCAGAGGATGACACACATGACCTATTTGTGCATGTTGACGACCCAGAAAAGCATACTGGTACTATGGAATCCTATGTTACATTTAGAGTTAATACTAAAGTATGTGTAGAATTCATTTTATATAAATTTGCTTTTGAAGACTATGAAAATATATAGTTTAAGGGTAAAATAAATCTACTTTTATATATCATAATTTTTTTTACTAAAATGTATCATTTATGTGTTTTTAGTTTGAGTTTTTGTTATAATAAATAGTGTTATATTTAATATACATGTACATGTAACCCAGTGAAAATTAAAAAAAAATGACCTAATATTACTCAAAGTTTCTTATTTCATCGGGAAATAATTCATTATACCTTTTTTTTTCTTTTTCTGAATCCTACAAATTTACAGAACAAAAGAAATTTTAATTTTGTAGTCCCTTCAGAGTTTTCTATCAGGTCCACATTTTAAATTGTTGAAAATGAAGATATAAATGTGCAAGTGCATCTTATCTGTGTTGCACATTTTTTTCTTACATCAGACATTAATGAATGATCTGTGCTAAAATAGTTGTTTAAAGGTTTCAAATGTAATAGCCATCTTTGTGACCCAGATCAAGCCAAAATGTTTTGAGCAGATTCCTGGTCTGTCATTCTAAAACTATGTATGTTTTCTAATGAAATACATTAATTGAAACAGTTGAAAAACATTAGTGGGTTTGAGAAGTTTCAACATATGTTCTTGCCGATGTATTTTTGTATTTAAGGAGACAACTGTTTGACTATCAAAGAACATAGAAGTCAGAGTGAAAAAAGTGCATTTCTATACCTGCGATTTCGTTCTTAAGGGGTTTCAACAAATTATTGAATCATGTCAGTTGTTGATTTAATATTGAAAATTTTACTGAATTATCTCTTATACGGTTTTATGTTGTTTGATTCATGTTTCTTTTTGAAAGAGATCAAGTTGCTCGCTCTTGTTCATTCATAAAATTATCGTAAAATCAATACGCACGTTATAGTAATGTAATCTCATCTTGCATTATTTGTTTTAAATTAATAGTAGCACAGTTTATGCGTTCTGATTACACTTACCATGTTTTTAATACATCCTTGAAATTATGGGCCCTGTTATTTATTAAGGGTTTCTTTAATTACTGTTGATACTGATAGACTCCACTCTGTAAACAAATGATATAATGACAGTGTCAAATGTCATAATGACCCTAATGATCACCTGTAATTCCCTATGTTTACGTATCTAAAAATAGACAATCATAACTGACCTTAAAATGTTGTTTGAAACACATAACAATAAGTTCGTTTTCCTTTTTTTTTTATAATTCCGTAAGATTTATCATCTTATAGATGAAATGAACCCGTCCAAATGTGAAAGTCGCCAAGTTAAGAGTAAGAGATATTCACAAACAATTTGGAATTTTCATGTTTCATAGATTGAAAAAAAGTTCGTCCATTTGGATATAAAAAACGTGAATGCATGACAAATGATGAAACTGATATCCTCGTCTTTCCAGTGGATGCGTCTACTTAGTTTTTGACACGGATCTGGTAAAGTCGATGTGTTTGCAATTTTATTTCACACGTTTTCGTGCTTGAAGTTTATTATTCACCATGTTTCCTGAAAAGCAACGTGGAGCTGTTTTTTCTTGTTCGAGAAATGCAGATTTAATTTCATGTTTGTCCGTGATACCCCCCTTTTTCGAAATTATATGATGATGGCATATATTGTATGTTTAAAACAGCTGAGCAATTATGTTTGGGACTAAGATTTAAGAAATGATGACAAAGGAGCATACCAAAAATATTGTTAGTAAGCTGAAATATATATTTATTTTTTACATATTTATAGATGTTTTGTAAGATTTTTTTTTTTCTGACCGACCAACCGGACTATTTCGTGTGAAAATCCGTAAACCAACAAATTAAAAAAACTCTGGCCTTAGTGATGAAAGGGGTAAAGCGTAAGCCAGTTCCCAGGTTAATCGACAGTTAATGTGCATTTCATGAAAATTTCAGAACTCTGTCCCATCTTCAAAATCTTTTATTGGTATGTATGAATGAATGATTCTTATTACAAAAAAACAATAGTTGGGTAGAACATTTGGGTCGCGAAAGTTGAATTCATCAACTGAATGGTTAAATTTAAACCAATTATGATATAATTAAAATTAAAATTAAAGCAATAAAGATAATGAAGCCAGGTGCATGGATTGTCATGTAAATTTTTTCCCAGAAATAAACACTCTACAAGGGGATAATCTATTATGATTTCTTCTGGAGTTATATGTTTCCACACATATATTTGCCTCCACAGTTAGCTGGGTAAACGTGTCGTCCCCCTGGGAAATGTAAAACATTGTAAAAATGACTTTCTGCTGGATAAGTCTTTTATTGATATAAAGTTAAAACATCCTTACTTCTCACTAGAAAAGACTCCTGTCAGGTTTAATTCATTTACAAGTGGATAAAAATAAAAGTCACAAAAACATTAACTAGGCAGCAATTGCTTTAACAGCCTTTAAGGCTTTGATTTATATAGATTAGACCGTTGGTTTTCCTGTTTGAATTGTTTTACACTAGTCATTTTGGGGCCCTTTATAGCTTGCTGTTCGTTGTGAGCCAAGGCTCTGTGTTCAGTGAAGGCCGTACTTTTACCTATAATTGTTTACTTTTTATGCATTGTGACTTGGATGGAGAATTGTCTCTTTGGCACTCATACCACATCTTCTTATTTATATAAATTATGAAAATATTTGAGTATTTTGAAGTATTTCAGGGGAAACTCAAACAGGGTCTGTTATCAGCATGTAGGCATATTCAATTCCTAAATGGGATATGAAATTAGTGAAACTGAGATGTTTCTATTGCTTTAATTTACTTAGCAATTTCATGAGGGATTCAGGATTTTAGATAATTTATGAGTTCCAAAAATGTGATGCTTTATCAATCTCTTAAAATCTGTATAAAGTAAATTGGTTTATATATCATGTTTATGTTTGTTTTACAGACTACTCGAAGTGAATATGATGACAGTGAATATTCAGTAAGAAGACGATATAATGACTTTTTATGGCTCAGACAGAGATTGGAGGAAACATACCCGACACATTTGGTTCCTGTAAGTTTATGTCAATTTACTAAAGGCAATATCTGATGTTTATTGTTCACTACCTTGAAAATTATCTACCAAAACAAGACTTAAAAAAAACCAAAAACAGTGAACTTTATAACTACATGCTAGAAATAGAATTTAAAATCATGCTTTTTATGCCCCCGCCGTAGCAGAGGGGCATTAAGTTTTACCCTTGTTCGTCTGTACGTACGTCCCAAAATTGGTTTCCGTTCTCAAACTTTAGTTTGCCTCAACCAAATGTTATTAAACTTATACACAATGCTTACTACCACAAAACACAGATTGAGTTTGAATTTTGGTGGTGTTACTTTTAACTTTCTAGAGTTATGCACCTTTACAAATGGAAAAATTGCTGAATTTTTCGTTTCCGTTCTCTAACTTTAGTTTGCCTCAACCAAATGTTACTTATACTCAATGCTTATTACCACTAAACACAGATCAAGTACAAATTTGTAGCGTCACTTTTTTTATTTCTTGAGTTATATCTCTTTATAACGTAATATGCAAGCTGGGGCATCATCTGTGTCCCATGGACACATTCCCCATATATTATTGGTATATGATAGTTACTGTAATGCAAATGAGAACTTTATTTTTCAGACAATCTTTCTTACACAGATGACCTCGTATCTGTGTTGTTTTAGCATTGAATATCATGCAATGATGATCCATAAATATAAACAATTTGATACAAAATTAGATAGTTTTTACTTTTATGGCACAAAATGTTTTTTTAAATAAAAAGGATTATGGTTAAATTGGTGTACATGATTGATTTGAATAATACAGCCACAGGAATTATGCATACTGTGGATTCATTAATATTCGTTTGGATACCAATTTTCGTGGATTTCGTGTGTACAGGGGAACCACGAATTTAAATATTCAACAAATTACAAATTTTCTAAAGGAATGTATGCAAACTTTGCCAAAACAACGAAATTAAATATCCACGAAAATGCAAGTTTTCCTCAATCCACGAAAATTGGTACCCACGAAAATAAATGAATCCACAGTATGGTTTAAATTGGTGTACAATCATTGCTTTACATATTGCAGCCACACAGATAATGGTTTAAATTTGTGTTCATTATTGATTTGAATATTGCAGTCACAATGATTACGGTTAAAATTGGTGTACATTATCATGATTATTGATTTAAATATTGCAGCCACTAGGATTATGGTTTAAATTGGTGTACATTATTGATTTGAATATTGCAGCCACTCCCTGAGAAGCATAGTTTGAGAAGATTGGACCGTTTCAGCCCAGAATTCCTGAGAGTAAGACAAGCAGCATTACAGAAATTTCTTAAACGCATAGCCGACCATCCTGTTTTGTCCTTTGATAAGAGTTTTCAAGTATTTCTTACAGCAAAAGCATGGGTATGTGTATGATAACTCATCTTATATATAATATTTCCCAATTAGAATGAGATAAAAACACATCATTAACAAATTAAAGTAAAAAATTATGAATTATAAAAATCATTATGCTGATGAAAATAGTATGACTGTTCATAACAGTATTTTTGTGTTACCAGCGTGCTATTCTCAATTTTTAAGAGATTCCTGATTAACCAGCAGATCAAGTTTCTTATGACCAGTTTACATTTATAGAATAACTTCAGAAACTTGGAAAAGAGTGGACAGATATTTAACTTTGTCACCTAAATAAAATAACTATTGCTTGATTTTAATGTAAATAGTATATAGCAATTTACAAGCCCTCTGTATTCTGTTTCAGGAATTTCAAGCTTATAAGAAGCAAGGGACTGGTTTATTAGGTAGAGTAACAGATTCATTACATAACATAAGTGCTTCATACATGAATAAGAACAGACCTCCAGAATTTGTTATCATGTATGACTATATACATGCCTTGTCAGAAAAGATTGGTGTTATGGACAGAATATGTCAGAGGGTTTCCAAAGAACAAGCCGGTAAAATATACTTTTTAGTTCACCTGTCCATGCCTGTCTGTCTACATAAAATTTTTCAAAAATCATCTTCTCTGAAACTACCAGGCCAAATGTTATTAAACTTTACCTAAATGTTCCTTAGGAAAGCTAGTTTAAAACTTTATCTGCGGATTTGAATTATCAAAAAACATGGCCACTGTTGATAAAAATAGAACATAGGGGTAAATTACAGTTTTTGGTTCATATCTCAAACCTAAAGCAGTTAAAGCAAAACTGACTAGGGTATCAGGTCAAGGTCTATCTCCAATGAAAATTTTCAGAAAAATCTGACAACCCATTTTAAAGTTACAAAAAGTGTTGCCCTTGAAATGTCAATTTTGAGCAAAGTTTGCATTGTTTGGTTATTATTCTGAAAACTGATATAGATAGAGAGAAACTTTAAATAGTGAAAATGATAAGAACAATAAGATCTACTATTATGTCAACATGGCTGAAATGGTCAATTGACACATAATGGGAGTTATTGTCTTAGTATGATGATTTTTGCCCTTTTATTTTTGCATTTTTGCTGAAAGTATAGTTGATAGAGAGAATCTTAAAGTAGTAAAAATGTTAAGCAAAATAAGATCTACAAACAAGTCAACATTTGCTGAACTCCACAATGCACCCCTTACAGAAGTCCTAGAAAGGAAGATTTTTTTACCCATTTTTATCATTGGCATATTTTGCAGAAATGTTAATAGAGAGAAATTGTAAATAGCATAAATGTTCAGCAAAATAAGATTTACAAATAAGTCATCATAGCCAAAATTATCAATTTACCCCTAATTGGAGTTAAATGTCCTTTGCCAGTTATCTCGAAAAACTATAACAGTAAGTTTGAAACTGTAAACAGCAAAAATTATCAGCAATACAAGGTCTACAAAATTGCAAAAGAAAGAATTCAGTAGTAAGGTATCTTTTTTGTTTCATATTATAAATTACTTACTTAGTAAAGAACATTTAATAATTAACTCCATGTTCCAACTAGGCTGTTTTCAGAGTGCGCAGCACCTGCCATTTTTATTATGGCCCCTGTGTCCTTTTTACAGTTTCCAGGGCGTCCTTTGCCTTTATCATTGCGCCCTTCTTTTTTGAAGATCGATTTTATTTTATTTTGTTCATTTTGTTATGATCCACCATTATGTCATAAATTCCTTGTCTACACTGTGCGTGCATTGTAATATACTGAACAGGTAAAAATAGGTTTACCTGTCGATAAAAGCTCATTAAATAAAAATCTATCTAACAATATGAGTTTGTGTTTCTTGTCTTATTCCAATCACTATGCCCAACAGTTGATTGCATTTATTTACATTTTCTCACATGGTTGAACAAGGTGAACCACGGATGACAAAGTCTCTTTAAGTAGAAAATAAAAAATTGTATGCAAACTATTCTATAAACATGATAAATGCAAATGCTTGAAGGTACCTTAAATTGAATATCTATATCCAAATTAAATAAATAAAAGCTGTAGTCCTGCAAACGTTCAAATTAGATATAATTATATATGGCAACAACTTGAAGCACAAAATTAGCAACAAATTAGGGACAATTTGTGTACATGGAATAATGCAATCCAACGCTACACATCATCTGTTACTTGTTGACCTATTTCCTCCACCCTTGTGTGACAAGAGGTGCTTGATAAGTTTTTCAGCATAAAAAGTAGAAAGATAAGAGTTCTATCTGAAACAATCATTCAGTAACGTAATTTGTATTCATGTTGTACTTGTATATATATAACTAGTGTTTCAATGAATAAAGACAATGTTTGATGAATACTTTATGAAAATATATCCTTTTCATGTTATCATTTCACACGTTAAATGTCCTTTTCAGGATTGGCACCCTGCCCTTTTGAAATCCTAGCTGGAACACTGTAACTGAAATTTTTTTTTTTCTATATTTGATTGTTTTTTCAGAGCATTTAATAGAACTAAGTGAATGGGGACCAATATACACACTTTGGTCTAATTCTGAAGAAGAACTGGTACCCTCCTTGCTTGCCATGTCAGAAGCAGTAGATAAATGTTGTCAGTATATGAGGGAAGTGGTATGCATCAGTTGTATTTATTTTTAGCTTTTTAATTATTTTTCACTTTTCATAAATGATTAACTTGAAGATGTAAATTTTTTGTTCTCTTGCTGCATCACTATAAAAGTGATCCAAAACAAGCAATTTAAAGAAATTTGACAGAGCATACTAATTTCGTCATGTTTTGTTGCCATGGTAGCTCATCAAATGTGAAAATGCTTTTATTTTCTGAACTACTTTAACTTTTGTCATGTTAGCGCAAATTTAATATCACGGATATTGGATAATAATACCAATTATGGGCCTTATTTCCTGTATTTCTATAAAACATAACGCAATGCACAATTTCTATTGATACACTATTAAATAACAAATAAAATGAACCCTGAAACCAAGGACTTTTCCACAAATAGTGTAAATCAGCATACATGTTTTACATACAAATTCAGTCATTAAATATAACATTTTGATCTTAACCTGTGCCAATATCATACGTTTCAGATTGATGCAAATGATGATGATTTTGCCCAACCATTAAAAGAATATATATTATTTACAGATGCAATAAAGGTATTTATCTTATTAGCATGGTAATTTATATTGAAACAGAAAAGAATGATAACCTATTGAAGAGGATACATCTATAAGACACATCTATCCCATAAATTACAAAGAGAATAATCATGTACTATAGTACAACTTCTAAAACAGTTCTTCTTAATAGGTACAATAGCTTGAAAGTTTTAGATAATGAGTTAAAGAGGTCCCTCCCACTTAACAGCAAGACCATGATGATCCTTTAAAAAATGCAGAGTACTGTGAAAGGTCGTGTATAGTCCATGTTTTTATTAAATCAACTTTGTCAAGAACAAACATGGCAGAACATAGACAAAATCATTGTGAAGTAGACTTTTCTTTTGTTATATATAATCCACACTCCTGCCTTGCAATTTGAATTTTGGAGTAAAAATTATGTATTATACATGCTCAACTTCTACATATAATATTTATTGGTCATTTCTAGCATGTCTACATTGCCACTTAACAAGTTAGACTGCAAAAGTCAAATAGTATGAATAACTGTTATGCCAGGGAAGTTCATTCGTAACATACCATGAATTACATCACCAGGCTCAAACACACATAAGTCAAATAGTATGAATAACTGTAATGCCAGGAAAGTTCATTTGTAACATACCATGAATAACATCACCAGGCTCAAACACACAAAAGTCAAATAGTATGAATAACTGTTACACCAGGAAAGTTCATTCGTAACATACCATGAATTACATCACCAGGCTCAAACACACATAAGTCAAATAGTATGAATAACTGTAATGCCAGGGAAGTTCATTCGTAACATACCATGAATAATATCACCAGGCTCAAACACACATAAGTCAAATAGTATGAATAACTGTAATGCCAGGAAAGTTCATTTGTAACATACCATGAATAACATCACCAGGCTCAAACACACAAAAGTCAAATAGTATGAATAACTGTTACACCAGGAAAGTTCATTCGTAACATACCATGAATAACATCACCAGGCTCAAACACACAAAAGTCAAATAGTATGAATTACTGTTATGCCAGGAAAGTTCATTCGTAACATACCATGAATAACATTACCAGGCTCAAACACACAAAAGTCAAATAGTATGAATAACTGTTACACCAGGAAAGTTCATTCGTAACATACCATGAATAACATCACCAGGCTCAAACACATAAGTCAAATAGTATGAATAACTGTTACACCAGGAAAGTTCATTCGTAACATACCATGAATAATATCACCAGCTCAAACACACATAAGTCAAATAGTATGAATTACTGTTACGCCAGGAAAGTTCATTCGTAACATACCATGAATAATATCACCAGCTCAAACACACATAAGTCAAATAGTATGAATTACTGTTACGCCAGGAAAGTTCATTCGTAACATACCATGAATAACATCACCAGGCTCAAACACACATAAGTCAAATAGTATGAATTACTGTTACACCAGGAAAGTTCATTCGTAACATACCATGAATAACATCACCAGCTCAAACACACATAAGTCAAATAGTATGAATAACTGTTACACCAGGAAAGTTCATTCGTAACATACCATGAATAATATCACCAGCTCAAACACACATAAGTCAAATAGTATGAATAACTGTAATGCCAGGAAAGTTCATTTGTAACATACCATGAATAACATCACCAGGCTCAAACACACATAAGTCAAATAGTATGAATTACTGTTATGCCAGGAAAGTTCATTCGTAACATACCATGAATAACATCACCAGGCTCAAACACACAAAAGTCAAATAGTATGAATAACTGTTATGCCAGGGAAGTTCATTCCTAACATACCATGAATTACATCACCAGGCTCAAACACACATAAGTCAAATAGTATGAATAACTGTAATGCCAGGGAAGTTCATTCGTAACATACCATGAATAATATCACCAGGCTCAAACACACATAAGTCAAATAGTATGAATAACTGTTACACCAGGAAAGTTCATTCGTAACATACCATGAATAACATCACCAGGCTCAAACACACATAAGTCAAATAGTATGAATTACTGTTACACCAGGAAAGTTCATTCGTAACATACCATGAATAATATCACCAGCTCAAACACACATAAGTCAAATAGTATGAATTACTGTTACGCCAGGAAAGTTCATTCGTAACATACCATGAATAACATCACCAGGCTCAAACACATAAGTCAAATAGTATGAATAACTGTTACACCAGGAAAGTTCATTCGTAACATACCATGAATAACATCACCAGGCTCAAACACATAAGTCAAATAGTATGAATAACTGTAATGCCAGGAAAGTTCATTCGTAACATACCATGAATAACATCACCAGGCTCAAACACACATAAGTCAAATAGTATGAATTACTGTTATGCCAGGAAAGTTCATTCGTAACATACCATGAATAACATCACCAGGCTCAAACACACAAAAGTCAAATAGTATGAATAACTGTTATGCCAGGGAAGTTCATTCGTAACATACCATGAATTACATCACCAGGCTCAAACACACATAAGTCAAATAGTATGAATTACTGTTACGCCAGGAAAGTTCATTCGTAACATACCATGAATAACATCACCAGGCTCAAACACAAAAGTCAAATAGTATGAATAACTGTAATGCCAGGAAAGTTCATTCGTAACATACCATGAATAACATCACCAGGCTCAAACACATAAGTCAAATAGTATGAATAACTGTTACACCAGGAAAGTTCATTCGTAACATACCATGAATAATATCACCAGGCTCAAACACATAAGTCAAATAGTATGAATAACTGTGATGCCAGGAAAGTTCATTTTAACAAAAGCTTTTTTGTGACAGGAGTGTGTTAAGATTGTAGTTTATTATTTGCTCACTCTACATTATACAATCTATTGTTATATACAGTAAAGATTGATTAAGTTTTGTCTACTCCTTTTTGCTATGTTTTAGCAAACAGAATATGTTTAACCTAAACAAAAATAAAGAAAGAAATAAAAGTTTGACAAAACATTGTTAATTTTATTTCCCTTTAGTCCAGTTATGACAGGCTTCTTTAATGCCCAACCACTTAGTGACCATGACAAACAGTTTTATCCATCCCACAATTATTGAATGTTTAACAAAAAAATCATGAAAAAATGAAAAGAAGTTGACTTATATAATAACCAGATTTAACAATTTCTAGCTTTCTTTCAGGCTGTTTTACGAAGACGTGATGCTATACAAATGGAATTTGATGCTACTGTTGATGAGCTCAATAGAAAAAAAGATGAAAGGGAACAGGTATATGAAATCTTGAGTGCTAAATCAGTTGTTATAATGATTGTAGCTCTTGAAAATTTTTCACATGGATGTGGAATCTACAGTATGAACTTCTTTCAAGCACACTCTTGCTAATCATTTCATATGCTATGAATACTGGTATTTTATGATGTAACCTTGCAAATGAAGAAAAGTACGAAGCATCCCCAATAATATGTAAATGAGTTGAACTACAAGCTCACAGGTAACACTTCCATTCAAAACAATGGACAATTACACCATTGAAAAAAAAAAAAAAAAAAAAAAAATTAACTATTATTGTTCAAAGGGAGACAATTGAGAGAAAATAACAACAAATTATGAATTTAGTTTTTGTTGACATATGTACAAGAAAGACAGCAGTTGTTTTAGTTTCGAGATATTTAACAAAAAACTATAGTGCAGTGGTTGTTGTTGGTTAATGTCTGTCATATTTGTTTTTCGTAAATTGTTTGGTTTTAAATTAGGCTGTTAGTTTTCTCGATTGAATTGTTTCATATTTTCATGTCAGGGTCTTTTATAGCCGACTATTGGTTTTCCTCATTGTTGAAGGCCTTACAGTTGCCTCTAATGGCATAAATCAACTTCATTAAAAATGGTGGATAGTTGTCTCATTGGCAATCATACCACATTTCCTAATTATTATATATGTTCAGGAAATATGTAATTGACAGAATAATTTCTGTTGATTTCTGTTGATTTGTGATTATTTTTGTTTGTTAAATGTACTTCAAAACAAAATGTATAAAAACAAAATATGGAATGTAACCTACCTTACTCGGTTGTCATTTATGTGTTTCTACAAAATTTCCTGCTACTGATGTCTTCAAAAAAGGTATGAATTGTCTCCCCTCAAAACTATTTTGGTTTAAATCGTGTTTCCTCACAAAGGGTTGACCCAAGGACATGATATGCTTACCACTGATTTGAGGTTAGAGGCTTTAATCTTTTTATTATGGGACAGACTTTTGCTTTATGTGGTGTAGGAGTTTAATAACAGATTGGAAGAAGAGGTTTCCATAAGTCTTGAAGAATGAACCTTGAAACAAGGAATTATTAGTAAATGTGAAGTGTTAACTTAGAACTTGGCACAGATACAGAATGCATCTTTATCTTCTGAACCGCTTTTAAGACCTGCTATGCCTTATGTAAATGTTATGGTGTATTGGTGCTGCATGGAAACTTCAATTCCTATCATTGTGTCTTTAATTCATAATTCATACTGCAATAATCAACAATAAATTTTCTACATTTGCAGCACAGGTGACATTTGACATCCTGTAGAAGGGTGATTCAGACATACACAATCAATGTTTTTTTCTATTGCTTCCTTTATTATTTTCATTGCATATACAAAAAATTCAAATTTCCATTTGAATTATCCATCTACTGGTAATATAAAGTACTTTACAAAGTCTGCTTAGAAAATAAACAAGTTGAAAAAATCTTGCATATAATGTTAAAGCTCATGATAGTGGCAAATAATGTTTTTATCTTTCGATAGACCCAGTTCTTATGTAGTAGGATATCATAGAAAATACTATGATGTGCATAATTTCAGTAGACATGATAAATGAGTTGGAATATTACTAGTGTTTCAAACACTGTATAGGTGGTTTTCTCCGGGTACTCCGGCTTCCTCCACCAATAAAAACTGGCCGCCACGAAATAGCCTAAAAGCGGTGCTTAAAAGTGGCGTTAAAATACCAAAAATCAAAAAAATCAAACACTGTCTATATTACTAGCATATTCAACACTGCATCTATTACTAGCATATTAAACACTGCATATATTACTAGCATATTCAACACTGCATATATTACTAGCATATTAAACACTGCATATATTACTAGCATATTCAACACTGCATATATTCATTTTTATTCGTGGTATACCAATTTTCGTGGGTCACAGCGAACCACGAATTTAAGAATTCAATGAAGAATAATCCAGAGAAATGTGTATGGAGTCGGATGTTTATTTCCAGTTATGTTATGCAGTTCTAGTATAGTGTTGATTAGCGATAAACATTGTAACATAACACATGTTTTTATTGAAAGAAGATACAAGTATTTTGATTAAATCAATAATAAATATATCAAATATCATTGATAATTTACTTTTTAAAATTGATTAAAACTGTTCATGGAAAATAACTGCTAGTTGTTAATTACCGTGTCATAGTGTGGTTTACCTGTGATTAAAAATCAATAGGATTAAGTACGGGGATATTGCCCGTAGGTAATATTGATTATGACAGGAACATTTATTTTCACACCCTTTACTTATATGACTGTTTATTATATCGTGATTATGGAAATGAGCTTTCAATCATAGAGTTTGAATGCCCTATAAAATTCCGACAAGAATTTATAAATTGTAAAAAAAAAACAAATAATTAGTTGTCTCTGTCCATTATTGTAATATAAGTTTTCAATGAACACTTTAACCTAGAATGACCAAGCGAGGATTTTGACAATTCAAACCTTTTTCAATGAATTCCTTCTTTTTTGTTTGTTTTATTATTAATCAAACCAAGGAGGTTATATGATCTAAATAAAAAAGAAATCAACGAATTACGTATCTGATTTTTTATACGACCGCAAAAAAATTTTGCGATCGTATATGGTATGACGTTGGCTGCGTCGTCGTTGTTGTCATCGTCGTCGTCATCCGAAGACACATTTGTTTTCGCACTCTAACTTTAGTTTAAGTGAATGGATCTCTATGAAATTTTACCATAAGGTTCAATACCACAACAGGAAGACAATTTAAAACAGTGTAAGGGAGGTAATCCACATACAACGTTTAGATTACTTCCCTTACACTGCTTTTAAATTATGTTTAAAGAAATGCATATTTATAAAGGAAGACCAGTAAAAATATCTGCAAATGTTGCATCTTTTTTTTTTTACAAAAAAATCCATATAAAAGATTTGACACCATATTTTAAATTCTATTATAAAATAGATTAAGTTAGCACTATGGTAAATTTAAATGGGTAATTATGGTTGCAAATTCCATTGGAAATTTGAATTGAGATTATGACCATATCTTGAGGGAAAGAATTTTTTGGGGGAAAAAGGGGGGGGGGGGGGGGGGGGGGGGGGGTAAAAAGAAATTGTGGGGGTCAATTTTTTCTCATTTCAGATTTTAGAAATTAAAAAGAATTATTCTTCAAATATTATTTTTTTTTCAAATTTCAAATATTGAAAAATTTCAAGAAGTAATCTTTAATTGCACAGTATGGCGCATTAGATTTGTAAAATCTTTGACCACATATTTATTTGTTATGCCAAATCTGACCGTGTATTTAGATTTTTAATTTTCGGTCAAGTTTTCAAATTGGTCTACATTAAGGTCCAAAGGGTCCAAAATTAAACTTAGTTTGATTTTAACAAAAATTGAATATATAGGGTTCTTTGATATGCTGAATCTAACCATGTATTTAGATTTTTTATTTGTGGGCCCTGCTATCAAATTGGTTCATATTGAGGTCAAAAGGGTCCAAAATTAAACTTTGTTTTATTTCATCAAAAATTGAATTATTGGGGTTCTTTGATATGCCAAATCTAACCGTGTATTTAGATTTTTAATTTTGGGTCCAGTTTTGAAATTGGTCTACATTAAGGTCCAAAGGGTCCAAAATTAAACTTAGTTTGATTTTAACAAAAATTGAATTCTTGGAGTTCTTTGATATGCTGAATCTAAACATGTATTTCAGATTTTTGATTTCTGGCCCAGTTTTCAAGTTGGTCCAAGTTGGGGTCCAAAATTAAACTTTGTTTGATTTCAACAAAAATTGAATATATAGGGTTCTTTGATATGCTGAATCTAACCATATATTTTGATTTTTGGGCCCCGTTATCAAATTGGTCCACATTGAGGTCAAAAGGGTCCAAAATTAAACTTTTTTGTTTGATTTCATCAAAAATTGAATTCTTTGGATTCTTTGATATGCTGAATCTAACCATGTATTTAGATTTTAGATGTTGGACCATAATAGGTAAATTAGAAAAATTTAGGTTCTTAGACCACATTCATTCTGAGTCAGAAACCTATACTGTGTCAAATATTTAATCACAATCCAAATTCAGAGATGTATCAAGCTTGAATGTTGAGTCCATACTTGCCCCAACTGTTCAGGGTTCGACCTCTGCGGCCGTATCAAGCTGCGCCCAGCGGAGCATTTTATTTTTTTTTGTAATCAGTGATCCACAAATTTACGTATACCATGAAACATCTTTTTTTCTCTATCCACGAAAATTGATACCCACGAAAATAAATGAATCCACAGTATATTACTAGCATATTCAACACTGCATATATTACTAGCATATTCAACACTGCATATATTACTAGCATATTAAACACTGCATATATTACTAGCATATTCAACACTGCATATATTACTAGCATATTCAACACTGCATATATTACTAGCATATTAAACACTGCATATATTACTAGCATATTCTACACTGCATATATTACTAGCATATTCAACACTGCATATATTATTAGCATAATAAATGCTGCATGCATCATATCATGAAATAAACATATGTTTGATGATCTTTGTTTTATTGTGTTTTTTTTTCATTGCAGTTAAAGATCTCAGATCAGACTTATTCAATTGGTGCATTCCTTGGTAAAGATCCTGAAGATGTAAAACAACAGAAACAAGACAAGTTAGAACATAATATAGAGGAGGTAGACATTTATTTTTAATACCGGGTAGTAGAACAGCTCCATGAACTCATTTTATTATTCTATATTTTTCAGTTTGCTTTACCTGTATCAGCATAAAATTATCTCAGCTAATATGATGATATATGATGAAGAAATGAAGAATACATAGTGTTCTCCCCAAAAATTTGTAGTGCGTAACCCTTTTTCTGGAGTAAACTATTGTGAAGCGAAACAATCCCTCAAAATTCAGAAATACTATATGAATTTAAATGCTTTATGACAGGTTAGGTGTTTATTTATGTACACTATTTATAAATTATCATAAATGAAATATAATCAATTTACACACATTATAGAACATATTGATCATGTTGATATCAGAGTCCATTTATAGAGTTAAAATTCAATTTAAGAGTCCAAATGTAGTAATTTCAAGAGAAGATTTTGCTGTTCATTTGAGCCTTCCAGTGCTGAACAGCTTTATATACATTGTATGTCCACGTCTGGTGCATCTGCTTCTTCTAAAGATATTGTATTATTAAGCAGTTTGTAACTCTTGGAATACAACTTTTTAAAACAAAAGAATGAACAACTGACCAATTTCTGTAGTTTGATGTTTCGAAATTGCTTCCATGTGTATTTGTGACAATCTTTTGTTTTGGCAGTCAGAAACCTGACAAATTCAAAGTAAAGTTCAACATAATTATTTACTAGTGACAGTATACATATGATTCTGGGTACCTGGACCCAACCAGCGACATCAAGTTTTTGATTGTCATAGTTTTCTGGTGCAAGGACCAATACAAACATAACTGATTTATTTTTACATGACAATTAAAAACGAATTTTATTTTGCTAAGAACAAAATTTCACATTCTTACCCAAACTATTGATTCACATTATGAATTTATCATAAATTGTAGTTTACTTAACTTTTTTTTTAAAGTAAAACGAATTCCATTTATAAATATTTGTAGTTGTGTATTGCAAAGTTTCCACATGTTTTCATCATGTTCATTGGTCGTATCAAAATAGATTTATATTATTGGCCAATGAGAAATTTGATATTTAATTCGTCAATTAATCAGGAAAACCATCGTAAAAACGTTTCATATTTGTATTTCAATCTTTCCCTTAATTCTAATCCTGAAACAATGAAAAAAGTATCCAAGAAAAATATTGTTCTATTTGATGATAATCTATGCAATTACACCATCTGATATGCGAAATACAGGTGAAGGATAGACTTCGATCAACAATGTGTAATTTGGTGTAATATTGATTTTCTTCTCAGCGGCAATTTTGAACTTGACAAAAGCTAACAACAGTTCATATTTAAATATAAAAATTAACACGCTTCAAGATTATATTTTGTAATATAAAATGCTTAGCTGAGCTCAGCTGGATACGACCGCAGAGGTCCAACCCTGAACAGTTGGGGCAAAAATGGACACAATATTTGCGCTTGATACCGGTCTGAATTTGGATTGTAATTAAATATTTGACACATAATAGGTTTCTGACACCGAATAACTGTAGTCAAAGAACTTAGAATTGGTTATATGATTTGAATTTATATTCAATTTTTGCTTTTGTGCAATACATCATGCTGTTGCGAAATTGACCCCCCCCCCCAAAAAAAAAAAATTTACCCCCCTTTTTTTTTGCTTTTGTGAAATACACTATGCTGTTGCCTATTGACCCCCCCCCCCCCCCCCCCCCCCCCCAATGGAGTTTGCAACCATAATTACCAATTTAAATACATAAAAGTCTTAAAATAAACCCAACCCCCCCCAAATTTTTTGAACCCCCTTATGATTCATCGCCCCCAAACTCAATCCCAGCCTTCCCTTTGTGGTATGGTACCTTGCAGTACAATTTCAGAGAGATCCATACACTTGAACACAAGTTATTGTCTGGAAACTAGAAAAATGCTTATTTTTGGCCCCTTTTTGGCCCCTTATTCCTAAACATTTTGGGCAATTACCCCCAAACTCAATTCCAGATTTCCCTTTGTGATATGGAACCTTGTAGTACAATTTTAGAAAGATCCATACACTTACACACAAGTTATTGTCATGAAACTAGAAAAATGCTTGTTTTTTGCCCCTAATTCCTAAAATTTTGAGGCAATTACCCCCAAAATCAATCCCAGCATTCCCTTTATGATATGGAACCTTGTGGTGCAATGTCAGAGAGATCCATACACTTACACACAAGTTATTGTCTGGAAGTTTTTGGCCCCTAATTCCTTAACTGTCGGTACTATAACCCCCAAAATCAATCCCAACCTTCCTTTTGTGGTATTGAACCTTATGGTAAAATTTCATAGAGATCCATTCACTTAAACTAAAGTTATTGTGCGAAAACCAATGTGTCTTTGGACGACGACGCAAACGTCATACCAATATACCACCGCAAAAAAAGTTTTGCGGTCATATAATAAGTGCTGCAGGAACACCAAAAATATTCGGAAGGTGCTGTGGGACTGCAGTGTCATATTGGCTTGGGGAGAACACTGTACTATATGCTTTTCAAAGGAAGGTTTAGATCTCAAATAAAAGCTGAGATTTTGAGGAGATGAAATGGAGTAGCAACTCATATGAATTGTTGTTATGTTTTTAGTGTATGAAAAACAGTTGACCTTAGCTGAGTAAAATATTTCATCAGCTAAATGTGTCCTTGTAATAAGGTTATATGATTTATGTATAATAGCTTCACTTTGGGTACTAGGTACATAAATAAATAAATGTGTGATATTTTTTTGTACAGCTAACGAAGCAAATGGAAGAATTAAATGATAAAACAGTATGTGCTGACACTGATCTCAGGGCAGATATGGAAAGATGGCATAAAAATAAACAGAAAGATCTCAAGGAATTGTTTATGTCTCAAGCTGATAGACAAATAAAATATTATGAAAAGGTAAAAGCAGATAATCCTCATGTGGTGTTATATAAAGTCAAGTTTTTTACCAAATAATGCATAGCTGCACATGCACATTATAAACAAATGTTGTTCATATACATTTTTAATCTTAAGAAAAAATTTAGTTAAAAAAGAATGGCTTCATATAAACAAAGTACAAAAGCATTGGCAAGGTATATAGTAACTATTTTTTCATCTGTCTTGTCTGTCTGAAAAATAATAATTCTGGATGACAACTTATAAGTTCCTTATGGAAAAGTAAAACTAGCATAAAATTACTGCCTGCCATGATTTGCAGGTTTAATTTTGTTTCAGTTACCATTTCACTCCTTAGAATTTACTTATATAAAAATAAGGAGGTGTGGTATGATTGCCAATGAGGCAGCTATCCACCAGAGTTCAAATAAGCAATTATAGGTCATCTTCAAAAATGAGAATAACCCATACAGTATAGTCAGCTATAAAAGGCCCAGACATGAAAATATGTGAAACAATTCAAACAGGAAAACTAACGACCTAGTTTATAACAAAACAATTTACGAAAAACAAATATGACAGACATGAACTAACAACAATCACTGAACAACAGATGAAACAACGGAGTTCTCTTGGAAACTCAAGACAGATAAAAAAAACTGGTAACTGGAAAGGATGAATTCAGAAAGAAAATTAATCATTTCTAACTTGTTATTTTAGTGTTTAAAATCATGGGAAGGTGCAATCAGGAAAATACAAGCAAAAGATTTAGAATTTATAACTACAGAAGTTCCAGAAGAGCCACCTCAGTCAGATTCCTAGTCACGATATCTAGTCAAGCCATTGTACATGTCATTCATTTCAAGACTTGTGATATAAAACATTACTCAGAAACCATTGTTGATATAAAGTACAATCAAATGAAACCTATCTAGGTGACCATTTTTATAGCATTTATTCATTCAGACACATTTGTTGTTTTGGTATGCACCTTATATATGTCTAAACACACTTTGAATTACTGCAAATTCGGAGGTGAATTTATGGACAAGTTGCATTTCAACAAAAATATGAAAGTTATTTTAAAAGTTATTCAAGAACATGTTATATTAATAAAGTTTCAATTATAGGATTCTTTCCAGTCACATTTTAAATATTAAATAAATGCAATTATATCTAAATTACCAGTAAAAGGCCAGACAAATTTCTAGAAATTCAATATCACACTTGGTTGCTATTGTAAAGAGTGAAAATATTAACTTACAAGGGTCATAATCAATATCAAAATTTGTGTCAACATTTGTTATGATCTTTATCTGACAATATAACACCTTATGTATAAAGCTTCTAGGGATGATCTTTCAAAAAGAGTCCTGGAAGGTTCAGAACTAAACTCAAATATAGTATGTGTCATACAAAATTGAATTGGATGCATAATTTATTGATTAGAAATTTTCACTTGCAGTTCCAAACTTTCAAGATATCCTTTTCTACAAGAGACCTTAACCAATGATTTATGATACAAAGTCAGCAATATTTATAAAGTTCCACTTCAGATGTTGTTAGCATAACTCTGTGGGATATAAAGTTTATTTTAATTGTAAAAATGCATTTAAAAAACAAAAGAATATATTCATGTACATTTCTTGGATATTTGCAAACATTCCTTTTGTATGCAAGCTGTCTGATTTTGTCAATGTTTAGGGCGTCAATTTCTGTATAAAAATGGGTTATTTGATGCAGAAAATACAAATTTATGTTTATGTCATCTTGGATTTAAGAGCATTTGATTAGATACACAATACTCAAAAAAGATTAATCATATTGTATTGACATAATTCTATGTGTTTTATTAGAATTAATTAGAATGCATGTATACTATATCTATTACTGTAAATTTTGGACTATTCAGCAGTGTGGGAAGTAAATGCTGTAAATTATGTGACAAATTTCAATATTGTCAATTTTACATTGACAAAAAAAGTTCTCAAAATTGTATGATTATTTCTTAAAGGTTGTAGAGGAATAATTTATTTGTTAGTGATTATTATTTTGTGATTCATAACAATATAAGATTTATTATTTATACTTTACTTTTTACTAAAAAATAAGTGAATTGCTCTATCGTTTCCTGAACTTCATGGTTTTGTATTGTAATTGAGATACATTAAATCTCAGAATTATGACCATTGAATAGAAAATTAAATGTAAAGTGAAATTTTCTATATCATGTGTCATAAAACCAGTTAAAACTAAACCATGACATTTTCATATTAAAGACTTTTCAAATATCATGCACATCACATTCATTTTCATGTATATGTTATTGTCATATGTGTTGCTATATCTAAATGTTATAAATATGTGTGTACATGTATGAATAATATCAAAGCTACTAGGTTGTGTTGTGATTAGAAAATATTGTAACTGTATTCACATATCATACATATTTATACTTTTATAGTCAAATGTGAAAAATGCACATATTTTTGTGTTATTTTTGTTTAAAGTTCCCAGGTGTAATGATGGAAAGCTGTTTCATAAGTTCAAGATATCAATATATTTTCCTCTTTTAACTGTGTAAAGTCAAGCTTTTTTTCCTTTATGTATCAATATTACTAAAAATAGCTTTCTGTTGAAGATGAAGGAAATGATTTGATGGATACTTAAAGGACACATTTAAAAGAATCTAGCTAGTTTTAATATGTCAATTATATTTCCTCTTTAAGATGTTCACACCATATTACCAGCTATCACTACAACAGATACAACAGGATCTGTGTACAGATTGCCATTCAAAACAAGTATTTTTGCTATTGTTTACACCAGTTTCTTGTCTTGCTTTGATAATCACATACTGTAATTTTGATCTGTATTACTGTGTCTGCAGTGCTGTAGCCAGTAATAGGGTGTGATGTTGGAACACAATGCTTTTTGCCTACATCCCTAGCATAAATTTTCAATTGCAAGTCCATTATTTGGAAACATAATTGATAAAATCCCATTTTAATGCATTTAAAAACAGCCTAATCAAGTTTCAATATAAATCCTGTTAAAAAGCCCTGTTCATTAATTTAATGACATTAAATCTTCAAGGGGATTGGGGGATAAGTCTTGAGATAAAGTTATTTTTTCTGCACATTTAATAAATAAAGACCTGCAAAGGAAAGTAACAAAACATGTAATCTGGAGGCACAAATCTCTTTGTATGTTTATATACTAAGAGTGTCCTCAAGTTGGAAGTTTAATATTTTTATATAAGAATATTTGAATTAAAAACATCCTAATTCCCCAAAAGCTAACTAGGATTATTTGAGCATCTCCAGTTTTGGAACCAGAAGTTGATTATTATATGGAAAACCATCAATAAAAGTAGGTTTAATAATTTACAGGACACCTTGTCAATCAAATTTGATGAAAATTCTATCATAGCTGATTTGACATAACATTGTTTAGAGTATTAAATTTCTACTCTTATAGTGTTTTGCTTACCTTTGTGTAATAACTTAGAATGTTTAAATATCAGCAATATATATAAAAAAAAAAGCACCCTGCATTTTCATTGTACACTTGATAAATAACAGATTTACTAACAAGTTAACTTATGATAGAAGCTCTTAAATTTCATTGGTTAGACAATTATTTCAAATGTATAATATGGGCAAAGTGCAATTCATTGTGTTACAATTAAAATTATATATGTATATAAATGAATGTATTGAATGTTATACAAGATAAAAAGTTCCTGTTTATGAATGATAATTTAAAAAGTTTTAGGCAATGTTTGACACTGAATTTCTTTTTATGTATATGTTTAGTATGTACATGGGACCAGTGGTTTCTTTTTATTTTATTTATTTTGTCTGTTTACATTTTGTCTTTGTTTAGTTTTAATTTATTTATTACATTTATGTAAGACAAAAACAAGCACAAACACAAGATACCAATATAGTCAAACAATAGTCAAACAATGTCTTTGGTATATTTTCAGTATGTTGACATTTAACCAAACATGTATGCATTCTTAACTATTACATCACATAGAAACAAACTATAAAATGTATTTAAAAATAATTCCCAAAAAAGGGGAGATAACTCACAAATACCAATCTATTTACTTCTGCTTTACATTTTAATGTTAAATGTTTAATGAGGTTGTAGGTCTGTTGAAAAAAATGTTAATAGAAATTTAATACAAATGTATGCATCTTTGTATCCATGAGGTCCATAAAGACCTGATTTTGTTCCTATGGCTGTGCTTTTCCTCAAAATGAATGGTGATATATTCTAAGATATACATATTAAGTTGAAAAGATTATTATTTGGTTCATACGTATACATGTAACATTATTCCAATGTTTAGTTAAAGAAAGGTTGTAATGTAATTCTATAAAGATAATTCCTTCAAAAACATTACAGGACTCTCATACCTGGACCAGTATTAATTGATTCTTTCATATTGAAGTTATGCAAGTAATAAGTACTGTAAATTCAGAAATATTTTAGATGTTTTTATTATTCTTCATACTTATTCAAAAACATGATAAAACGTATAGTTCACCATGCTTGTTTCTAAACTACAGGTTGGGCCAAATAGACATATTTCATAAGAATTACATTGGAAAAGAATAATTATGTTAGTTAAAACGAATCTTAAAATGAAAATATAGAATTTTGGAATAAATTGAGAAAATAACTCTTATAAAACATTTTAAACAAAAATGGGGTCAACAAAATGTTTTCATTGCACCATAACAAAATAGATAAATTTTCTGTACATTCCAAATTATCTCTGTTATCTCCCCTTATGAAGCTGAATTTTGAATTTCTGTGAATGAAAATAACTATGTACTCTATGAAGAGATTTAAAAGAACTTGGTAAAAGTTGTCAAATATGTATGAGGGATATCCTAAAAAAGTGCTTTGCTGAATAGATTGGTAATGTATACACTAAAAAGGTAAAGGAGTACATAATGAACTTTTTTTTCAATTTTCTTTTAAAATTGGTGTAAAGCTTTTAAGTTAACTACCAATTTAAATATTCTAGTGTGTTTGTCAGAAAAAAATATGTGAATGTTATCTGTACATGTAGTCAGAAAGCAAGAACTTACTGTTCACTTGTCACTGATGTTTGACTCGGAAAAATTTGTTCAATAAAATGTCAGAATTTGTTTTGATTTGTCTCAATTATATTGTTAAAGCATTGTGATTTGGGTTATCATTTCTGACTCAACAATGTAAAGTACTGGATATTCAGACAATACGACAAGATGTGCTGGAAAGGTACATTTCTCTTATGATTGTGGCCTGTTATTTATTTCTTGTATGAAGAGAAATTTTTCATATCCCACTGCACGAAGTGTGATACGTAAACTGTGTTAATTTGATTGGCTTGTACAGCATCATGAGACGATATCAAGTAAGTTCATTGATGACTTTCAAAGGTTAAGACGCAGTACATTTCGTCCATGGCAACAGACATATGTGATTTCTTCAATAATACACAAAACACTCACACTTTTCACCTAAAAATCTTCTTTTTGTCAAATTTTATTACATTCTGAGGCATACAAAAAGTTTTAAAATGTCTGATGTTAAAGTTTGATACCAGAACAGGACATATGACATCATACAGGTATGTGCAAAAGAATAGATGAACAATTTGCAGAATTTTTCATTTAACACAATGAGAGTGTTCACCATAAGAGAAATAGGTTTAACCTGCTCACACTATACTTAGTGGCTGTCATAAAATGAAACAAGAATATGTGTCCATAAAACACCATATCCTGCTCACAATTGACTACAGTGACTGTCATAAAATGAAATAAAAATTTGTTTATAGAACACCATGCCCTGCTAACACTGAACTACAGTAACTGTCATAAAATTAAACATTTCACTTAATAATGAACATGTGTACTACATTTCACTTAATAATGAACATGTGTACTACATTTGACTTAATAATGAACATGTGTACTACATTTGACTTAATAATGAACATGTGTACTACATATGACTTTATAATGAACATGTGTACTACATTTGACTTAATAATGAACATGTGTACTACATTTGACTTAATAATGAACATGTGTACTACATTTGACTTAATAATGAACATGTGTACTACATTTGACTTAATAATGAACATGTGTACTACATTTGACTTAATAATGAACATGTGTACTACATTTCACTTAATAATGAACATGTGTACTACATTTCACTTAATAATGAACATGTGTACTACATTTCAAATTGATGTGACCACAAACAACCTTAACATTCCTTTGTTGCACTGTTACACCACTGTCCCAGGTTGGGGAGGGTTCAGTGCTCACAACCATGTTTATCCCCGCCACATTCTTTACCTGTCAGGAGCCTGAAATTCAGTGGTAGGTGTTGGTTGGTGTCTGTCATATTTGATTTTCATTATTTGTTTTGTTATAAATTTAACCATTAGGTTTCTGGTTTAAATTGTTTCACATTTTTTCATGTCAGGCCATTCATAGCCGGATATACAGTATGGGGTTTTCTCATTGTTGAAGGCTGTATGGCGACCTTTAATTGCTTATATCCACTTATTTGAACTCTGATGGACATATGTCTCATTGGCAATCATACCTCATCTCCTTACCTTTATATTAAACCAAATAAAATTGAGAATGGAAATGGGGAATGTGTCGGAGACAACAACCCGACCAAAGAGCAGAAAACAGCCAAAGGCCACCAATGGGTCTTCAAACACAGCGAGAAAATTGTGCACCCTGAGTATTACAAAGCTGTAATTGACCTTATTTAAACTTTAACCCATCACATTTCCATGTGTAGTGAACCATAATCAGGGTTAAGACTATAATTTTAACACTGGAAAACATAATGCCCCTCAACTATCATAAGCAGGTCTTAAAATGCAGGACATAAATGATAACATGTGTGTTAAAATATCATATGAGAGTGCAAGTTGGAACTTAGCATAAAAACAATAAATTATTAGTTATTTGCATTACTTCAATTTCGAAACTAATCCTGTTGCAATTTGGCTATAATAAAAATATCTAAATTATTTCTGAATTTACAGTTCTTGTTGCTTGCATGACTTCAATGTGAACAAATCAATTAATACTGGCCCAACTTATCTATGATAAAAGTTATCCACATAAGAAGCCTTAATTCATAAAATTAAGAATGGAAATGGGGAATATGTCGAAGAGACAACAACCTGACCAAAGAGCAGAAAACAGCCAAAGGCCACCAATGGGTCTTCAACACAGCCAGAAAATCCCGCACCGGGAGGCGGGCTTCAGCTGGCTAAACAAAAATGTGTACTATTTCAGTGAAAATGGACATCATATTAAACTCCATAAAATATAAATGAACTAAAATTAAAAATCATACAAGACTAACAAAGGCCTGAGGCTCCCAACTTGGAACAGGCACAAAAATGCGGCGGGGTTAATCATGTTTAGTGAGATCTCAACCCTCCCCCTAAACCTCTAGCCAATGTAGAAAAAAACAAACACACAGCAATACCCACAGTAAAACTCAGTTTAAAAGAAGTCCGAGTGCGATGTCAGAATAGGTAACAAAAGAAACTAAGCAAAATGACAATGATACATAAATTAACAAAGGACTACTAGCAGTTACTGACATACTAGCTCCAGACCTCAATTAAACTGATTGAAAGATTATGTCTTCATCATATGAATATCAAGCACAATCCCTCCCGTTTAGTATCATACCATCATAAAATATATGAGAAGAACATAACCTGTATCATGCCAACAACTGGTTTTAGAATAAATGTATTTATTTCCGATGCAAAGACCCTATGAGTGAATCAATATTAATACCAAAATATGCCATCTTCAATGACCTGACAACAGTATCGTAACTGTATCCCCTCTGAATAAGTCTGTTTAAAGGTTTGGTTAGCTTTTGAGGTGAAGGCTGACTTTTTGTGCTTTGTAAAGAATATTACCATAAAAGATTGGATGTGAAATACCTGAACGTATAAGATGTCTGCATGTTGATTTATATTTACGAATGATGTCCTTGTACCGATGATAAAATCTAGTAAATGTTTTGACTAGTTTGTGATATCGAAAACCCTGATGTAATAATTTTTCAGTAATACAGAGATTTCTTTCGTTAAAATCAAATACGTTGTTACATACACGAGCGAATCGAACAAGTTGAGATATATAAACACCATAAGATGGTGACAAGGGAACGTAACCATCTAAAAATGGATAATTTACAATAGGAAATGAAAAATCATCTCTTTTATCATAAATTTTGGTATTAATCTTCCTGTTAAAGATATAGATATCAAGATCCAGGAAAGGGCAGTGTTCATTGTTAGTATTAGCTTTATTTAAAGTCAGTTGAGCAGGATAAATCTGTTTAGTGTACATACTGAAGTCGTCATTATTGAGAGCCAATATATCATCCAAATATCTAAAAGTGTTATTAAATTTTTGTATCAGATGTTGTTTTGATGGGTCTTTGCTGGTTTTAGTCATAAACTGTAACTCATAACAATATAGAAACAGGTCCGCAATAAGTGGTGCACAGTTAGTCCCCATTGGATTTCCGATAACTTGACAATATACGGAATCTCCATAGCCAACAAAAATGTTATCTAGTAAAAATTCAAGGGCAGTTATAGTATCAAAACAGGTCCAATTGACATAGTTCTTTTGTTTGTTGTTACTTAAAAATGACCTAAAAGAGTTTGAACATATATATTTGCATTCTGACTTTTTAAATGCCCATTTATTTAGGTGTGTGAATTTTTTCTTAATAAGATTATGAGGCAAAGTGCATCTTTTTATCCACGAGGTTCGAAAAGACTTGATTTTGTTCCTATGACTGTGCTTTTCCTAAAATGAATGGTGATATATTCAAAGATATACATACCGGGTATTTACCGGTAGTTGACAAGTTTATTATTGGGTTCATACATACATTGTAAGGAAAACTGAGAGGTCGGGCCTTAGTGTTAAACTATTGTGACGGGATTGCTTCCCTTAGAAATTTAGTAGATACTTAGTCAGCCGTAAGCGGTTGAGCTAAGGAAGTACTTCTTTAGCTCAGTCGGTTAACGTGCTGCCTTGTAACACAGAGGTCCCGGGTTCTACCTGGTGGAGACATGCGATTCTGCAAGTAGAATCATGCTCTCCAGTTACACTATAAATGTTTATCCCTTAGTGCGTTGCTATAAAAATGTGTTTTGTTAGAATGTACGAGTATAGAAGAAATAAAAGTTATAACAAGTAGAATCATGCTCTCCGGTTACATTGGCGCCCAACAATAAAACCCACGGTTAGAAGAAATACCTAGCCAGGTTAAAACATAAATATAAAAAAGATGAAGATATCATCATTATAGAGTATAATGACTCTTGAGGTGGGGGAAGTGCGACGGGATTGCTTCCCTTAGAAATTTAGTAGATACTTAGTCAGCCGTAAGCGGTTGACCTAAGGAAGTACTTCTTTAGCTCAGTCGGTTAACGTGCTGCCTTGTAACACAGAGGTCCCGGGTTCAAGTCCCGGTGGAGACATGCGATTCTGCAAGTAGAATCATGCTCTCCGGTTACACTATAAATGTTTATCCCTTAGTGCGTTGCTATAAAAATGTGTTTTGTTAGAATGTACGAGTATATAAGAAATAAAAGTTATAACTGGTGACCCTTCTTTGGTAGCGTGGTACTATTTGGTACTCTGGTATTCTGAATACACACTGGTAAGGTATGGTTCCTCTGGTAAGGTAATGACTCGGATATAAAAGGGTAGATTGGAGTATAGGTTTTTGTATGGTAACTCTCAATGTTTGTAAGAATAACAGACTCGTTAAATAAAAATCAACTTGTTTTAACTTTAAGATGCATTAAATTTCAATAATACATATAAATATTAAATAACTTAACAGTATTCTAGTATAACAAGTAAATACTTTATTAACCTTAGAATATCATGAATTAAAGAAAAATGGATAGCGGAACAATTTACCCAGAAAGTTTACTAATTGTAGTTTGATAATTGGCAAATGGTAAATCAAGTTCAATGCCAAAAGATAAAGTTTCTCTCGAGAAGTTATTCTCTAAATGTAACTTGTAAAGGAATTAACAAACCCACATTATACGGACGTCGTCTCCTCGGACATTGTAATAGTGTTGGCTGTCTGGTTACTACTTGGTCTGGTACATGGTATCTGTACGTATATCAAAATGGCTTGGACTTAGCGTGTGTTACTTGCCCAGGGTAAAATTATGCTAAAGACTTATCTGTATTCTCCGCCGTATTTATACTTAGGTTAACCAATTTACCGATTTGGTTTACCATTTACCATTTTGGAAAATACCTAAAATAACAAAACCAGAACTGACGTCATTGTACGTCAATTGAAATAAACAATTCACAGGTGTTCCGAATGTAAAAACATAGGCAAGAATAATAAAAATTTTTAGAGTTAACAATGTTTAAACATAGTTATACAAGAAATATATAATAAGAAAAGTCAATTATCGGTAAGATTTAAACAACGTCAAATTTTAGGGGAAACAAGTTCCATTTCAGGGGACCCACATTTCGTTACAATATTATTCCAACTGCATTGGTCTCTGGTAGAGAGTTGTTTCATTGGCAATAATACCATATCTTCTTATTTTATTATAAATATAATAAACAGCTGCGCCATAAGCGCATGATACACCCGTCGTCTTGTGTGTGAATTTTTATGCAATAAGCATAAATAGTTTCTGACATACGGCGTGACATGCGAAAACCCCCCCTTTTTTTTTTACAAAAAACTCAATATCTCAAATAAAATTTTGAATCAAAACCATAAAGTATACAGATCTTTAGATTAATATAACTAAGAAGTGTGTAAAATTTTAAGCAATAATCATAAATCGTTTTTGAGATACGGCGCGACATGTGAAAACCCCCCCTTTTAAAAAAAAAAATCAATATCTCAAAAATAAAATTTTTAATCAAAACCAAAAAGTATACAGATCTTTAGATTAATATAACTAAGAAGTGTGTAAAATTTTAAGCAATAATCATAAATCGTTTTTGAGATACGGCGCGACATGTGAAAAACCCCTCCCCCTTTTTTTACAAAATACTCAATAACTCAAAAATAAAATTTTGAATCATCACCAAAAAGTATACAGATCTTCAGCTTAATATAACTAAGAAGTTTGTAAAGTTTAAGCAATAATCATAAACTGCTTTTGAGATACGGCGCGACATGTGAAAAACCCCGCCCCCTTTTTTTACAAAATACTCAATAACTCAAAATTTAAATTTTGAATCATCACCAAAAAGTATACAGATCTTCAGCTTAATATAACTAAGAAGTTTGTAAAGTTTAAGCAATAATCATAAACTGTTTTTGAGATACGGCGCGACATGTGAAAAACCCCGCCCCCTTTTTTAACAAAATACTCCATATCTCTAAAATAAAATTTTGAATCATCACCAAAAAGTATACAGATCTTAAGATTAATATAATTAAGAAGTGTGTAAAGTTTTAAGCAATAATCATAAATTGTTTTTGAAATACGGCGCGACATGTGAAAAAAAACACACACCTGTTTTAGTTACTAAGTCCCATAACTCAAAATGTTTTAATCTTATTTTCACCAAAAAGTATACAGATCGTTTGACCATCATAAGAAACAACTATGTTAAGTTTCATGAAATTTGGATAAGTCATTCTCAAGTTACGGTGCGACATGTTTACGCCGGACAGACAGACAGACAGACGGATGCCGGACATTTGTATACCATAATACGTCCCGTCAAAAATTTGACGGGCGTATAAAAACTGGGATTTTTTAAAGACAAAATTCCTTAATTGTTATTGAAGGTACTGGTTATTCTTTTTTCCATTGAATTTCTTTCTTGAGCCAGTTTGGTCTATTATTGGAGTAGTTAATGGACGACTTTCCTATTTCAGTAAAACTGAAAACTCTTGAAGGAATAAGGGTAAATGATTACAATACAAGTAAGAATTTCTGTGTTTTATTAAATAAAGAGAAGTATTTATTTAAAATAGATGACAATTGAAAGAAAAATTTAATATAAAATCATGAAAATATTAAGATAAATAAAGAAACTTACCATACTGCATCAAATTTACCAGGAATATCACTTGATTTGAAACAAAATCTTTACACCCCAAATATTAAAACACATTTTACAGGCAAAATATTCAAAATATTTGGTAATTATTCCAAAAGTATTGGGAAAAACAATTACTATGTGAAATCTTAATATGGAAATTTTAAGTAATCTGAAGGAAATATTAAAACAAAATAAAATCTTTATCTTATATATACCATTGGGCATTCAATTTTCTTTCTTCTAAGTCAATTTTTCACAATGTCCTTAACTTTATACTTTTATTTTCCCAGAATGGTTTTCTCTGAAAGATGTCACTTTAAAGAAAAATAATCTAGTGCAAATTTGGTTGCAGCTTTTGGTCTGACAATTTAGTCAGCAGCATGATCAGTTTTCTTTCTTGCTAAGGCCATGATAAAATTATTCCTTCATAATCATCCATTTATTCTAATTGGACTGGGTCAATTATTTTGTTTTTATTTGTTACTTTTTTTCTTGTTGAGATAATTAAAATGAGAAACAAAAAAATGATACAGCGGATAATATTTTGGGGGATAGGGATGAGAACCTAGAAATATGTTTATTATGGCCTTAATAGAGAAGATTTTAGCACCTATAGAACAATTTATAGTTGTCATAAATGTTATATTAAACTATAATAGACAAATACATAATATGGAATAAATAACATCAAAATAAAGTATTGCAAATAACAGTCAGCAGTATATCAGTAAAGGCATTTCAAAAAAATCTGGACGGATTCAAAAATAATAATATAAATTTATAAAAACAATGCAAGCTAAGCATGAGTAGATATCAGTTATTTGGACAGTTTACATACTTTTTAACAAAAATTACTGTGTGAACTTTTGTAACAACATAAAAAATTGTATAATTGAAAAGTATTAACTTGTCCTAATTTCACAAGATTTTTTTCAAGTATTTTCAAGATTAAGTACACATACATTTGTAAGAAACTTAAAAAAAAGTTTTCTTACAAATTCAGTAATATTTTCATCTTCTTGTGCTTTGAAATAATTTTCATGTTAATCTTTTTTTGACTATATAAAATCTGAATTTTACAAATGGAACTGAAACTTTAGTTCAAAAACAGCACTTTCTGTAGCAAACAATATCCTATATTAGAATTTAAATTCAATAAATAATTTTTGGTTTACAACTATTATTTTTCATAATCAAATATTGTTGAAAAAGCATTAAATAACAAAACAATAGCTCTGTTTTTTCACCAGTGATAAAAACATATTCTATTCTAGATGATTAAATATGACTGACAGATACATATAAAGTTGTAAACATGTGGAAATTGCACAACTCTTCAAAATGAATCCCACAAAATAACTACATAATAAAAACAATATATTGTACAAATTATGTATAAATGCAAGACTAGTGCAAGGTGAAAAAAGCCAAAAATATACAGAATATGATATAAAGATTGTCATGCATTATTGCAGTGTGTTTTATAATATCTACATTGAAAATGAAAATATGCATTATTTCTGTACACATTTTATTCATCTTTATATTAGATCTGAATGTTGTTGATAAATTTAATCATCTTTGCAATTTTAACCAGAAGAAAATGACATCATACACTCAAAAATCCTGTTTGTTAAACAAATATTTATCTTAAGACTAATAAATTCAGTTTTTTCTACATTGAACATGAAAAGCAATTATAATCCAAATATCCTCTTCTAGAAATAAACAGTCAATAAATACATGGTGTACTTTATACACAAGAAAAAATGCAAGATGATTATTATTCTTAAGACAATATTTTTGTCACGACAAAAATGTAAAGTGAATTCATTGAGACAAAAATTATGTATTTGTGAAATTTTATGATTATTCATAATTTCTGAATATGTTTTTCCCTCTTATCATACATACTTAGACAAACAAACTAACTTATCATTGTTTAACTTAAATGATTAAAGTTGTTAAAATCACAGATATCTTTTTCAAAACTAAAGCTTGTAATATGTAAGCAAAACAAAGGAACTATAAGGCCACATTTTTTTTAACTCAAACACCAAGCAGAGTTTTAGGTTCTAGAAAATCCAATTGATTAAACCTTATTTAGGCAAGTACCTTTATATTTTAACTTTAGTCAAATGACTTATGAATATGGTTCCGACTTATATCTAAACAATAACAACAAATTTCAAAACCAATAACAATTTTTCTCTTTGTCATGATATCCCTTTAAACTAACATAAGATATATCTGACATTGGTTGAAACATACAGGATGATAACAATACTTATAAATAACCACTATAATATCTATTCATAATATACACCATAGACTTGGGCTATAGCAAACAAGGAATTGTTCCTGAATTCTGCTGAGGAGTATGTATCATTAGCAGAATCCCACAAACATCGGCTGCCCATTAACAAGGCTTGATTGTTGGATTGTCCGATATCTACAATACAGATTATCTTAAATCTTGGAATCATCAATTCTTTAACTCTAGCTTTGATTACCTGTAATATGAAAAAAGAAAAAAAAATCATTAGTTTCACTTCAACATATATAATTGTAAATCATCTGATAAAACAGATTTTTTTTTACATATATTGAATATTCACATGCAAAATTACACTAATTCCATGCAATATTTTCACACATTTTCATTACTGGTTACTATTTGGGGTACCTAACTAAAATGCAAACACACTGGATCAATGTATTATTATCCTTTAAACACTGATCAAAAACTCCCACTTGATGTCAAGTTAAATACAGCATCTAACAATAGTTTGAGTAGATCAAACTTTGCTAGATGTAGAAAATGCTGTTTCTGTGCATTGAGCCACATCAACCAAACTTTGCCAGATGTAGATAAAGCTGTATCTGTACATTGAAGCACATCAACCAAACTTTGCCAGATGTAGGAAATGCTGTTACTGTGTATTGAAGCACATCAACCAAACTTTGCCAGATGTAGGAAATGCTGTATCTGTGCATTGAAGCACATCAACCAAACTTTGCCAGATGTAGATAATGCTGTATCTGTGCATTGAAGCACATCAACCAAACTTTGCCAGATGTAGATAATGTTGTATCTGTGCATTGAAGCACATCAACCAAACTTTGCCAGATGTAGATAATGCTGTATCTGTGCATTGAAGCACATCAACCAAACTTTGCCAGATGTAGATAATGCTGTTTCTGTGCATTGAAGCACATCAACCAAACTTTGCCAGATGTAGATAATGCTGTATCTGTGCATTGAAGCACATCAACCAAACTTTGCCAGATGTAGATAATGCTGTATCTGTGCATTGAAGCACATCAACCAAACTTTGCCAGATGTAGATAATGCTGTATCTGTGCACTGAAGCACACAGATGTGTGGTAATCAACAAAGTGAAACTATTTTTTTGTGTTTTTTTTGTCTTAACTGAATGTATGTCTGGCAGTGATCCCATGAACAAATTGATTAATTACTTTAGACTCACTTCAGATATTGTCTTAGACATTTGTTTGCATAGTTCTGGTTCGTATTTCTCCTCAGCAAGATAACCTTCTAAAACATCTTTAATGATATTTTTTACTTTTCCAGAGGGAAATTTTCTGCCTGGCGTCATTTGGTAACTGTTTTCATATTTCATGGCTGGCCTGTAATGGTCATCATGTCCTGGGTCATCCATAAATGAAACTGTACTCATCGACCTGTTAAATACACACAATCGTTAATGATAAAAGTGTTTACACTGATAAATTATTTGTTTGCTTTCTGAAATTCATATAGTGGTATTTAGTAGATGATCATAAATTATATGACAAGATGTATGGTTTGTTGTAAATGAAGAAACTTTCAGATTTTTTAGAAGAATTTTAAATGAATGGTGTAACAAACAAATCTTAAAATTGAAAGATCTCATGGTTTACCATAAAATTATGTAAATGATTCAAATTCAGACTTGCACTTTTAATCAACTACTGGCTGTTGCAAAATCTAAATATGAATTCACTGATCATGTGTGGAGCACACTCAATAAAAAGAGATTAAAATTGTGCAAAATAAATGATGAAAATTAAAATCAAGTCAATAAAATTGGATATCAAATTATATATGCTGATGAATGAAGGTTATAAGCCAAATATATATGAAATAAAGAAAATAAGTTGGGTTATGGCAATTTATGCAGAAGCCTAACAACACACAATCACCTAAGATAGATTTCTAGTCGGTACCACACAGGTTTCAATGATGGCAAAGTGCAAAAACAATATTTCAGCCTAGAAATCACCCAGGGTCTAGATAATCTGTTCTTGAAATCAACTTACACAACAATAGTACTGCATAGACCATTTATGATTTATTCAATTTTCTTGAAATGAATCATTTAAATTAAAATTGTATCAAGAGTTATTTAATGGACTGATCATCATCTACCTAAGTCATATTGGTTTCAAAACATGTCAAATATTGAAAAAGCTAGTGATAAAAATGAATATAGACAATCTTTTGCAAGTATACTGAGCATTTGAAAAATTAATTATGAAAGCAAAGCTAATGCCAGATAAGTGACAAGGACAGGATCATCAAGGTAAACGATGGGAAGACAGGGTATATGTCTAGCAATATCTCAACTCCAAACATGTCTACTCTCATCTACACTAGCAAAACCAATTATACTTTTGGGAAAAAATCAACATACAAAACTGAATTTTGCATTTTTTTTAATCCATCTGCTGACCTGTAAATAAAATATATTTTTTTAAAGAACATTATACAGATTCAATTCCTGATACAGTTTGGAAAATATTTTGTTAAATAGAAATTCTCAACTGCCTGTATCACTTACCCGATACATTTATCAATGACTTCAGAACTATATCACTTACCCAGGAACCATTATATAATTTTCAAAAGTTCATCGGCATGATAATAATTTAGACAACTTGAAAACTAACTGGGAATGGTAAAAACAGTTATCAGTCAGATCAATTGGTAACAAGGAAATTGGGAATTCTAATACAATTATCATAATGAGACAATCTTGAATCATTTTAAAGCCATTTTTGCAACATTTGCTATAGATGGGCATTTAAGTTTCACTAAAAAACTAACAGATAAATTTTTACTTTATGTACGTCAATAGTTTATAAGCTGATAAGTTAATTGTAGGACTGTAATAAAACCCTAATAATTATGATTTGGGAAATTTCCTAACCATCTTAAGGATCTTTCATGTCCTTTTGTTAACATTGGTCCAATGGATCCAGAGCGGAAGATTTTATTTTAGTGATGTATAGTATCAGTGATGGTAACATCTAAGTACTGTTTTTAAATACACTCAAAAGGCTAATAAAATAATATCTGCTTAAAATAGATTTATGCATTAAAATATTAAAATATATTTCTTAAAAATTCCAAAATTTCTGTTGCACAATTATAAGTGAAAATGAAGAAGTATTTTGAATGGTTTCAATGTAATATGACCAATTTCCAAATGTGTTCATCTGAAAATTTATTTAAAATTTTACTAAAAATATAGAGCATAAATTAATATAGTAAAGTATTTAAAGACCAGACTAGCCCACCATTCAATAGAATATTACTAAATCAAGTTCCCACACCAATATCACAATACCCTTGGTTTTAACTTGCATGAAACTTAGATCAAATTTTCATATATTTTAGATTCTTATTACAAGTATCATTATATTTTACTTTCCATTATTTAAATCATTTAAAAGTTTTAGTGTAAGGTCATGCAACAAACTTTTTAATTTTAAACATGCAAGTTGTTTTGAATCAGAATCTAAAATGAATCATCATAATTTGATGATATAATTAAATAGACTACTCTACATGTAGTTAGTAACCAATCCATGCCACCAAACCATGTTTTACCCTGACTTTAAAAATTCTTTAGACCTCTTTGTCCCTACATCGCCACTATAAATATAATTATCTTGTGAAAGATAAAAGTTTAAAAAAAACTGTATGCTACATTTTTTTGATTTAAACACTAGCTTTCTGCATTTGACTGACAGTTTTGTTCTGCTTATGTGTGCTTTACAATATCTATAAAACTTTAACCATTTCCAGAAAAAATATCTGAGAGCCTAAATTTGATACAAATATCATTATCTGATATACAAATTAATCCTCATCCACGAAAAAATTACTGGTTTGCTGCAATGAAGAGCAATTAAAAGAAGTTTTTTTTCAAAACTACTCAAAATCACTTTATTTCAAACATACTTCTAACCAAACTCAATGCAAAAAGCTGAAATATTTGCATATTGAAGTAAATCATTTTATAATCCTTTTTTTTGTGAACACACTTGACTAAATTTAAGCTGTGCTTTTTGCCTCGTAAGCAATTCACTTTAAATTTTCTGAAATGACTTATTTGAACCCCTGCTATACACTTATTTTGAGAGAAACAAATCTTTTAAAAGTCTCAATACAATGGCTTATGTATTTCTATACCATATAATTCCTTTTAAAATAAAACAAGTACTGGTAATTAAAACACTTTAGTAATACATGTTTTAAGAGGTTTATATATATTAGGGGTTTCATGATATTTCCTGTGGACTGGTACTTTTCCCACTTGTAGGTTTCCTGTGGACTGGTACTTTTCCCACTTGTAGGTAGTACTTATATTATATTCTAAAATACTTTGCATAAAAATTCCTCAATTTAGGCCACACTTTTTGGTAATGTAGAAGGGTTCAGCACCAGGGACCAGACCTGTATTTTTAACTATAATAATGCTGCATGGGTTTAATTAAGTTAAAATCACTGCTATTCCATGCCTTATGTCAATAGGGTTTAACAATGATAATTTGTATATATTAAAGTGAAAGGTAGAGGAATATGGTTGCACTTATGTGACTCATGTGAGTTGAAATTGTCATTACTTTTTTTAACACCTGAAATTATTATAATTGGACCATGGTTTTATTGAAATCTTTCAAAACAGAAAACATTTGTACTTAGTATATATATTGCGAACCCAATGAAAGTTTTCCACAGTGCCATCTCTATATTGACCAGGTATTTAAACTTTTGCAAGTTCACCTGTCCTATTGAATGAATACAATAGCTATTTTTCTCTGTGTAGTTTATTCACTGGGACCTTTAAATTTCTTCTAAGAGAAATCTATCATTCATTGATTAAATTACCTGTGTAAAAAAAAATTTTATATATAGACAAAAATACTTTTTTTATACTCATTAATTGCGTGTGCTGATGTATTTATTCAATATTAATAATATATTTTCATTCAGTTTAATATAAACATTGATTCAATCATAAAAAGTTGATTTCTAACAAAAGTTTTATCAATGTTCCTATTGAAATTTGATTTTTTTTTGTTTAGTTATAGAATACATTTTAGAAGATCTTAATTTGAAACATCATTATTTTCAAGTTCTTATTCATGTCAAACAAATTTTTTTTTAAAAGGAACAATGTTGAAAGTTTTGTCAGAAATCAACTTTTTATGATTGAATCAATGTTTATATTAAACTGAATGAAAATATATTATTAATATTGAATAACTACATCATCACACGCAGTTAATGAGTATAAAAACAGTATTTTTGTCTATATATAAGAAATTTTTTTTACTCAAGTAATTTAATCAATGAATGATAGATTTCTCTTAGAAGAAATTTAAAGGTCCCAGAGAATAAACTACACAGAGAACAATAGCTATTGTATTCATTCAATAGGACAGGTGAACTTGCAAAAGTTTAAATACCTGGTCAAGATAGAGATGGCACTGTGGAAAACTTTCATTGGGTTCGCAATAAATTCTTATTGTATACAATAAATACTTTAAAAAAGTTCATAAATGCCTTCATAAAAAATCACATTATAAGCACAACAAAACTATCATTCTAATACTTAAATGTAACAAAAATTACTTCAAATTCCAAACTGGCAAAGCCTACCTTTGTCCTTCTACCATTTCTGCCAACTCTTGACGTTGCACACTTCTATGTTCAAAAGCCTCAAATAGTTAACTTTTTTTTATTACTGAGATATTAACATAAGTTTTTTTCACATCAACTTAAAACTTCATAGACATTGTTCTTTTGTAAATTGTAAGTGTTATATTAACAATCATATCAAACCATTTATACAAACATATTCACATTGGTGTTACCAAGCATCATTTCAGCAATACTTCAAAACAGATAAAACAGATAAAATATTCAAAAATTCACACAAGATGCCCACAAACCTTACTTAGTTCATTTCTGTATAACATATCCAACTTACTATCAGCTAGAATAATTTACAGATATAAAGTCAAATATTGTTCATTTCAAATATAAATTTTAAACAGGAAAAATCTAAGCTTGAAAAAACATGCAAAAGCTATTGTGGTGCAATGTGTAAACCCTTAAGCCTTGTTTTTACATGTATTTACAAAATGTAAGACTAATGTGCATGCAGGATATATTTTGTCTGATATTTTGTGATTTATTGTTACCTCTGTGAATGACGACTAGAAAAGAACATTTCCTTTTTAGAAAGAAGATAAAATAAAAAAAGAATATCTAAGACCACATGCTGCTCAATTTGAAAGTAACAAAAATTTCACACATATTCAACCCTATAAAGTGATATGTAAATGTTCCTGGAATATTTTAAATGATTCACACAGAACAAAAAATCTTTCCAAGGAACACCTACAACAAGTTTACTGAGTAATAAAATCTGATGAAAAAGCCTGTATACTCAATCATACTTTATAGGGTTGATTTATAAAATAAATAAATACACCCAAATCTAGAAAAGAAAAGATACATGTAGTGTCTCCTAAAAAAAATGCTATTTTTATGTTTTTTGTGCTCTTTTTTTACTGATGCTGAGGAATACATTAAGACTGCCAGCAACTATTCAAAGATTAATACTGTAAACTTGTGCACCCATTTTGTAATTTTTGAATCACCTTTCAGTGTTTTAAGGAGAAGCACTACATGTGTTTGAAAGTTTTTGTGGTCATTACAATACTGAAAACTTTCTACCTCCCCTCATCCTCCTTCTGCTCACTATTTCTTCTGCTAAGCAGAAGTTCTGGGTATGGACTACAAAGTTCAAAACTAAAAATTTTGATTCAAAGATTAAATGTTAAGTAATCTTATATACAGAATAACAAAAATCTAATTAAAATGTAGACAGACATTTATTTTCGACGCAAATTCCACTGGAACAAACAGAATATTTGTGGTCATTGTTATAGTCATCTGTAGATTTTTACACAAATTAGCAAAAGTAAACTTATAACTTAAAATGTCTGCACTGCATCTTCTTAAAGGCAAATTAATAAATGTGTGTAATTTTGCAAATATTACCATTAAGGCTTTAGAAAAGGTTATGATGAATGCAATAAGGCTTAAGTCCCACTTTCATTATTTTCTGGCCCATTTTAAAAAGTTCAATATGGATGTATTTAAACCAATAATACTACTTTATGACTATATAATCTCTATATCTTTAAATATATGTAAAAGTGTTTTTCTCTCTATAATTATCTATACCTTAATAATATCGTTCTTTATTCTCATATAGTACAGGACTTTTGGTAAATGGTAGTTTTATGTAGGCATATATATTAGATTCTATATATATTTTAATGACATGTTCAAAGCTCCTTCTAAATAACGTAAAATCACAAAAAGTATTTATACAGTATTACTGAGTAATAAAGAATCTTACCCAACTTTATGGACTTTGTATACATCACTACTGGACAGTGAGGACACAGATCCCTGTTTTCTCAGCAGCCTGGCTGCTTTTGATTGAGCATCCGTCATTGTGTATTTTTTATGGCTGTGAAAATATAAAAATCTGATAATTATTTGCACAATTAATGTTTTAAAATGATGTTAATAATTTAGAAAGCTATCATAACTAAAATGTTAAAATGGTTAATACAATGTTTTTTAAATTTTCAGTATATGTTTATGACATACTTCATATTTCAATTAATTTGACAGCATAAATCATTCCTAACATATAACCAAACACTTCAGACTATCACTGCTACAACAGGAAATTCCCAAAGTGCATTCCACTTACATGACTTACTGCAAATTGGAGTATAAGTTACTGATGAAAGTCTCATCACCTACTAAAGGAAACTTTGATTCTTACACTAATGAAAATGACCTTTAGGTTATTTTTGTCATTGGGTTGCTGTCTCATTGTTGTAATTCCAACATCAACATTTTAGCATTCTAACAAACTGAACACATATATACAGTTATGTTATAACTCCAAATAACAATCACATACCTAAACTTAATCATAATGTTTAACCCTAGCTAATCATTGAAACTTTAAATTTAGGCATTTTCAAACTATTTTATTGTCAAATAAATGTGGATAGTGTCCACATGTGGACACAGATGATGCCCCCGCTTGCATATCATATAGTTATAAAGGGACATAACTGAAGAACGGTAAAAGTGACACTACCCAAATTTGAACTTGATCTTAGTTTTGTGGTAATAAGCATTGTGTGTAAGTCTCATAACATTTGGTTTAGGCTAACTTAAGTAGAGAACAGAAACTAAAAATTCAGCAATTTTTCTATTTGTAAACATGCATAACTCTAGAACAGTTGTGTATAAGTTTTATAACATTAAGTTGAAACAAACTAAAAAATTCAGCAATTTTTATGTTTATAAAGGGACATAACTCAAGAATGGTAAAAGTGTCGCCACCTTATTTCGTACTTAATCTGTACTATGTAGTAATAAGCATTGTGTATAAGTTTCATAACATTTGGTTGAGGCAAACTAAAGTTAGAAAACGGAAACAAAAAATTTGTACTTGATCTTAGTTTTGTGGTAATGAATATTGTGTATAGGTTTCATAATGTTTGGTTGGGGCAAACTAAAGTAACAGAATGGAAACTAAAAATTTTGCAATCTTTCGATTTATAAAGGGCATACCTCAATAATGGTTAAAGTGACACTACCCAAATTCAACTTGATCTGTGTTTTATCAGTGGAAGTCAAAATTAAACATTGCATTGTATAAAGCATTGATTGTAGTTGATTCAACTATAATCATGGACAAAGGAAGATAACTCCAATTTTAATATAAATCACTTGATATTTACAAGAAAATAAAAATTTTGCAATTTTTCCATTTATAAAGGGGTATAACTCTAGAACGGTTAAAGTGACTCCACCAAAATTCAAACTTGATCTGTGTTTTGTGGTAATAAGCACTGTGTATAAGTTTCAAAACATTTGGTTGAGGCAATCTTAAGTTAGAGAACGGAAACTAAATATTTTCCAATTATTCCATTTATAAAGGGGCATAACTCTAGAACGGTTACAGTGACGCCACCAAAATTCAAACTTGATCTGTGTTTTGTGGTAATAAGCATTGTGTATAAGTTTCATAACATTTGGTTGAGGCAAACTTAAGTAAGAGAACGGAAACTAAAAATTTTGCAATTTTTCCATTTATAAAGGGGCATAACTCTAGAACGGTTAAAGTGACGCCACCAAAATTCAAACTTGATCTGTGTTTTGTGGTAATAAGCACTGTGTATAAGTTTCATAACATTTGGTTGAGGCAAACTAAAGTTAGAAAACGGAAACAAAAAATTTGTACTTGATCTTAGTTTTGTGGTAATGAATATTGTGTATAGGTTTCATAATGTTTGGTTGGGGCAAACTAAAGTAACAGAATGGAAACTAAAAATTTTGCAATCTTTCGATTTATAAAGGGCATACCTCAATAATGGTTAAAGTGACACTACCCAAATTCAACTTGATCTGTGTTTTATCAGTGGAAGTCAAAATTAAACATTGCATTGTATAAAGCATTGATTGTAGTTGATTCAACTATAATCATGGACAAAGGAAGATAACTCCAATTTTAATATAAATCACTTGATATTTACAAGAAAATAAAAATTTTGCAATTTTTCCATTTATAAAGGGGTATAACTCTAGAACGGTTAAAGTGACTCCACCAAAATTCAAACTTGATCTGTGTTTTGTGGTAATAAGCACTGTGTATAAGTTTCAAAACATTTGGTTGAGGCAATCTTAAGTTAGAGAACGGAAACTAAATATTTTCCAATTATTCCATTTATAAAGGGGCATAACTCTAGAACGGTTACAGTGACGCCACCAAAATTCAAACTTGATCTGTGTTTTGTGGTAATAAGCATTGTGTATAAGTTTCATAACATTTGGTTGAGGCAAACTTAAGTAAGAGAACAGAAACTAAAAATTTTGCAATTTTTCCATTTATAAAGGGGCATAACTCTAGAACGGTTAAAGTGACGCCACCAAAATTCAAACTTGATCTGTGTTTTGTGGTAATAAGCACTGTGTATAAGTTTCAAAACATTTGGTTGAGGCAATCTTAAGTTAGAGAACGGAAACTAAATATTTTCCAATTATTCCATTTATAAAGGGGCATAACTCTAGAACGGTTACAGTGACGCCACCAAAATTCAAACTTGATCTGTGTTTTGTGGTAATAAGCATTGTGTATAAGTTTCATAACATTTGGTTGAGGCAAACTTAAGTAAGAGAACAGAAACTAAAAATTTTGCAATTTTTCCATTTATAAAGGGGCATAACTCTAGAACGGTTAAAGTGACGCCACCAAAATTCAAACTTGATCTGTGTTTTGTGGTAATAAGCACTGTGTATAAGTTTCATAACATTTGGTTGAGGCAAACTAAAGTTAGAAAACGGAAACAAAAAATTTGTACTTGATCTTAGTTTTGTGGTAATGAATATTGTGTATAGGTTTCATAATGTTTGGTTGGGGCAAACTAAAGTAACAGAATGGAAACTAAAAATTTTGCAATCTTTCGATTTATAAAGGGCATACCTCAATAATGGTTAAAGTGACACTACCCAAATTCAACTTGATCTGTGTTTTATCAGTGGAAGTCAAAATTAAACATTGCATTGTATAAAGCATTGATTGTAGTTGATTCAACTATAATCATGGACAAAGGAAGATAACTCCAATTTTAATATAAATCACTTGATATTTACAAGAAAATAAAAATTTTGCAATTTTTCCATTTATAAAGGGGTATAACTCTAGAACGGTTAAAGTGACTCCACCAAAATTCAAACTTGATCTGTGTTTTGTGGTAATAAGCATTGTGTATAAGTTTCATAACATTTGGTTGAGGCAAACTTAAGTTAGAGAACGGAAACTAAAAATTTTGCAATTTTTCCATTTATAAAGGGACATAACTCTAGAACGGTTAAAGTGACGCCACCAAAATTCAAACTTGATCTGTGTTTTGGGGTAATAAGCACTGTGTATAAGTTTCATAACATTTGGTTGAGGCAAACTTAAGTTAGAGAATGGAAACTAAAAATTTGGCAATTATTCCATTTATAAAGGCGCATAACTCTAGAACGGTTACAGTGACGCCACCAAAATTCAACCTTGATCTGTGTTTTGTGGTAATAAGCATTGTGTATAAGTTTCATAACATTTGGTTGAGGCAAACTCAAGTTAGAGAACGGAAACCAATTTTGGGACGTACGGACGGACGTACGTACGTATGTACGTACGTTCGTACGTACAGACGGACAAGGGTAAAACTTAATGCCCCCACCGCTACGGCGGGGGCATAAAAATTGGTAAGGGGTCCACAGAACCCTGTGTCTCGCCTGCGACTTCTGCTGTCAGTGTAAAAGTGAAAGTTGACTTAAGAACGGAGTCCATTTATCAGTAAAATACAGGATTTAAAAAAAAAATCAAACTTTTTCTTCAGATTCTATTTCATGGTCTTGAAGATTAGCTTCTGTCCAAGTTTTATAACAATCCATGAAGGATTACAAATGTATCATGTCAAAAAAATTTAATCCCAGATTTTCTGATAATTGTTTTACTGTAAAAAACTAAGTCCATCTATCAGAAAAATACTGAAAATGAAAAAAATATATTTTCAAAAGTTTGCTTCAGACATTATCTCTTAATCATAAAGTAGACAAAGTGATGCCCCCACACTCCAATCTGAAGTAACTGTATTATAAAAAAGTCAATGTATGACTTTCTTTGGGATATTTTTGTGTCTGGGAGACACAAATGATGCCCCCGCAGATGCAAAGTGTTATTTTAAAATACACAAAGTTGAGCATGGGAGCACATAGGTCTATGGTTCACTGTGAAGGAGTTATCCCGAAACGCTATGCACCTCTTATGCAAGTAAATACTCTAAAAAGTAATACAAATCAAAACCCTGACCACATGCACACCTTCAATACATGTACAATCAACCAGCAAAGTGAAAACTTCCTGGCATTCAAACTGTAGGAGGAGTTATCCAGAAACGCTATGCACCTCTTATGCAAGTAAATACTCTAAAAAGTGACAAAGTTCAACTATCTCTCATTAGAGCAAATATTAATAAATATCAAAACCCTAACCACATGCACAATCTCAATATATGTACAAACAGCCAGCAAAGTGAATACTTCCTAGCATTCAAACTGTAGGAGGAGTTATCCGAAAATGCTATGCACCTCTTATGCAAGTAAATACTCCAAAAATGACAAAGTTCAAAGATCTCCAAAAAGAGCAAATATCAATAAAAATCAAAACCCTGACCACATGCACACCTTCAATATATGTACAAACAGCCAGCAAAGTGAAAACTTCCTAGCATTCAAACTGTAGGAGGAGTTATCCGAAAATGCTATGCACCTCTTATGCAAGAAAATACTCCAAAAATGACAAAGTTCAAAGATCTGCCAAAAGAGCAAATATCAATAAAAATTTGTAAGGGTTCCGCGGAACCCAGTGTCTCGCCTACTTTTGCTGTTAATCACAGGCTCCTCTCTATACTATCTTTTGATTGTAAGTAGCTTCTGTCCAAGTTTGGTAAAAATCCAGGATAGTTTATGAATCTAATAAATGTTATAAAAACTTAAACTGCAGACTGTATGTAATGTTAACTGGAAGAAAAACTAAGTCCATTTATAAGTAAAATACGGAAAAAATGGAACAAAGTTTTAACAAAATTTCCTTCAAGATACTAGCTTTTAATCATAAACAAGCTTCTGTCCAAGTTTGGTACAAATCCAGGATAGTTTAAGAAAGTTGTTAAAATTTTAAAAACTTTAACCACAGAGTGAATGTAATGTTAACTGGCAGAAAAACTAAGTCCATTTATAAGTAAAATACGGAAAAAATGGAATTTTTTTTTTACAAAATTTACTTCTGGATACTATCTTATGATCATAAACAAGCTTCTGTCCAAGTTTGGTAGAAATCCAGGATAGTTTAAGAAAGTTATTAAAATTTCAAAAACTTTAACCACAGAGTGAATGTAATGTTTCCTGGCAGAAAAAAAACTTTAACCACAGAGTGAATGTAATGTTTCCTGGCAGAAAAAACTAAGTCCATTTATAAGTAAAATACGGAAAAAATAGAATTTTTTTTTTACAAAATTTACATTTGAATATTATCTTATGATCATAAACAAGCTTTTGTCCAAGTTTGGTAGACATCCAGGATAGTTTAAGAAAGTTATTAAAATTTCAAAAACTTTAACCACAGAGTGAATATATGTGGACGCCGCCGACGACGCCGACGGAATGTAGGATCGCTATGTCTCGCTTTTTCGACAAAAGTCGAAGGCTCGACAAAAATCAAAACCCTGACCACATGCACACCTTCAATATATGTACAAACAGCCAGCAAAGTGAAAACTTCCTAGCATTCAAACTGTAGGAGGAGTTATCTGGAATAGCTATATACCCATAATGGGACAGATGGACGGACAGGCGTAAAACAATATGCACCCAAACTTTCAGTTGCGAGGGAATAAAAAGCTTCTGCCAAAGTTTAATAAAATTCCATGAAGCTTTGACAAAGTAATTAATGTGTAACAAACCATAACCCCAGACTGTATCTTCTTGTTGACGGTAAAAAAACACTACGTTCATTTATCAGTAAAATACGGAAAAAAGAAAATAAATATATTCAAAATTTGCTATGGATACTGTATTTTGGTCATAAAGAAACTTCTGTCCAAATTTCATAAAGTTCCATCAAGGTTTGACAAAGTTATTGATGACTGAAAAACTTTGACCTCAGACTGAATCTGAATGTTATAATAACTGTAAAAAAAACTGAATCTGAATGTTAACTGTAAAAAAACTAAGTCCATTTATCAGTAAAATATGAAAAAATGAAAAGAAATATTTTCAAATTCTGTTTTTGATACTGTATTTTGGTCATTAACAAGCTTCTGTCTAAATTTCATAAAATTCCATGAAGGTTTGACAAAGTTATTGATGTCTAAAAAAAAAATTTAACCACAGACTGCACCTAAATGTTGATGCCGACGACGAAGGAATCTAGGATCGCTATGTCTCTTTCTATGTCCCAGGTTCGACAAAAATTCATCTTCTAAAAAATTAATTCCTAACAGATAAAATTAATTTGTTGTGGCTTAGAAAAGTAAAACATGAAGACACAATGTGATGAATACAGCACAGAAATCAGATATACCATAGTTTTACTATTGTTCTCAAGTTGATGCATTTGTGTTGCAAATATTGAATCGAAACTGAATATTTAGGCACAATTACTTATGCAAAAATGCAATATCTGAAAAATAGCCTTAAATGCAAAACATATGCAACACAGATACAATTTTTTTAAACATCTTTTAAATTACTATTAAATTTTAAAATATATACTAGAAGCATTTAAAAAAAAATTATGGCAAGTAATAGGAATAAGCTTTTCATCTTGATCTGCAATACAAATTTATTCTAGGGACAAAATAAGATCCTTACCAAAAAGAGTTTTATACAAATTTAAGTCTGTGTAGAATCTTTTCATTCATTATTATAATTAATCAGTAAGAAGTTTACATCATTATTTTAGTTTCTAAATATATATACTTACTGTCAAATTTAATATCAAAGATTAAAGAAAAATGCCTTGCCTCCTAGATGTATTGCAGTTAATCCTTTATTCAAATGATGTGGAAAGTATAACCTTCAACTACAATCAATATGTTTCTACTTGCTTCCTAGAGTATTAGATTTTCAACGCTTAATGACTTGATGAAAGTGGGTTTTAAATCTTCAGATTAAAACTTTTTGAAAGAATTTTTACGATCGAAAGAAAACTATAAAATTCTCATTACATATTTTATGTCATTCAAAAACTATGTTTTACAGAGTAACATAAACAAAAGGTTTTTTTGCAAGAAATATTCAAACAATTTGTATGTAAATAACTTAGTAATTATACTTTTATGGCTAGCATCAATTTTTATAAATAACTTTATATGACCAAATAGCCTTACCACTTGTTACAAATTGAGATCATTAAAAGGTCATTCAGACAATCAGCTACCAAAGACTGGGAATATACTGCATAGTTTTGCAATCTATGTAAATGTTTTCTCAGAATAAAAATAAGAATTTTGTTTATCAAATAAACACCTTTTTATGGTATAAAAGTTTTTTCCTTTCTTTCAATTTTCCTTTTTTTTTATTTTTATTCTTTTTTCAAAGGAATTATACAGAAATGTTTAAAAACTTTAATTAAAAAATCAAATTGAAGTAAAAACATACAGGCAAGGGGATAGATAATTTTAAAAATTATTTATTGTAGCCAAATAGTAGACTCATATAGTAATTGCAAAGATCCTAAATTTTGACCTGATGTCATTGAATTATGCAGCAAGAAAATAAGAAATAAACAATTTAAGGAATCTCATTAAAGATAATAATTTTCTCAAAAAAAGTCATTTATCAAAATATTTTTACCTGAGCAAATAGCAAGTATTGTGAAGATACTGCAACTTGACAAATGCAAATTGACAGAATTAAGTATTGTGTTAGTTGTATTATTGAGTATATACCGGTTAAATTTAGTAAAGTTTAAAAACAACACAAGGGGTTCTCAAACAAAAAACAAATTTTTCCATACAACACTAAAGCTTTATACTTGCAGCTTTGAAGGAGATATTTTTACTTTTATCACCTGATTTAATTGACAATTTAAACATATGAACTAAGAAACACCTGAAATACTTCAAACAATTTTACAGGTAGATAAAACTGACAAGGTAAATATTTAATTTTTAATAAAAATGGTATAACAATGACAGTCTCAGTGTGTACTAAATTAACTTGATCTTATTTTCTGATCGACAACAATCTATTTTCCAAAAAATGCAGATTTAATAAAGTTCTTTTTTTAAATGATATCAATACAAGTGATCAAGCACATGCACTTTGTATTAAATGCAAAAGTTTTTTTTAAAGTTCTGATTACTAAATATAGCTAATCCACAATTACAAAATTTCTTATTGTTTCTCCATGACCTGCATCTATTATTGTTATATTTTCCCTAAAATTACTATCTAAGAAAATAAATGGCGAATGTCTCCATGGGACACAGATGATGCCCCGCTTGCATATAACGTTATAGAGGGACATAACTTAAGAACGGTAAAAGTGATTCCACCAAAATTCAAAAATTATCTGAGTTTTGTGGGTAATAAGCATTGTGTATAAGTTCAATAACATTTGATTGAGACAAACTTAAGTTAGAGAACGGAAACGAAAAATTCAGCAGTTTTCCATTTGTAAAGGGGCATAACTCTAGAATGCAAATATAAAGCATAAAATGAATACATCAAAGTGAACAACAACTGTAACAATTTAAACAACAATGTTAAATGGAAAATAATAAAATGATTAACAGAAGAAAAAATAAAAAACAAAACAAATCAAAAGTACAGACTAAATAAACTGTTGACACCAAGATATGTCTCGGCTGTCGGCAGAAAATTCAAAAACAAACAATCTGATGGACAGCAACGTTGCTAATCATTTCAGTCACTGGACTATAACCTAGGGGGTAGGGCCTCAAACTAGTCGTCAAACTGATATTTACTGATAGAAATGCAACTTTTTACAAAATATCATTGATATATATCACAAGTAGTTCCTATCAAACTAACTTAAGCCAAAAACTTAACATTGAAAATTGCTTATTAGTTCAGTCACTGGACCATGACTTAGGGGGCAGGGCCTCCAAATAGTCGTCAAACTGATATGTACTGATAGAAATGCAACTTCATAGTAAATATCAATGATTCTATCACAAGTAGTTCCTATCAAACTAACTATAGCAGAAAACTTAACAATTGTTGACGCTGTATCTGGAGCCGTCGCCGTCGATGGAAAAGCAATCCCTATGTCTCGCTTTCCGTGACTTTTGTCGCAGGCGAGACAAAAATTGGTCAAATTCGTCTTTTTAAGGTGATAACTCCTATAAGAAGTTGTCTGACAGTTTTGATGTCAATAAATATTAGGTAGATCTCATCAGAAAACTTAACATTGAAAATTGCTAATTAATTCTGGACCATGACCTAGGGGCAGGGCCAGAAAAAGTTGCCAACTGATATACATGTATATATATATGTGTACTGATACATGTGATTAGGGGGCAGGGCCTTGAAATAGTCGTCAAACTGATATGTACTAAGGTTGCTAATTTTGCAAAAATATATCATTTTCTAGCTACATGTACTGAATATTCATGTGATATAATGCACAAGTAGTATTATCACTCACAAGGAAATAACTTCAGTCTTAAGCAGACATAACATCAGTTTTTATCTACTAAATGGTTTTTTTATATATCAATATTCAAGTGTCAAATCATCTGTTTATCAAGTCGTGTATCTATATTTTGGCATGTTAAATTGACAAGTTTTTGTAAATAGATAAACTATGGTTTCTTTGTGACCATATATGGTTATGAAATGTATATAAACTTGTACATTCTATATGAACATGCCACTAAATCTTTGATCATGCTGTTTGAACAGAGAGGTGAAATTTTATATAGGATAAAGGCAGAAAGCCTCCAATCTCATTTACATTTAATAAATTAACTTTTAAAAAGATACTACAAGCATGGCCAGTTTTCACACAGATTGTTTCAAAATACAAGTTCTTTTTTTCAAATCTTTTTAATATGATAATACATTCTCTTGTCATTAAATTTCTCAAATGTAACTCTTTATTAATATTCCAATGAACAGCTGCATCATGACGACACCACCCTCCCCAACTTAATACCTTTCTTTCAACCATTAAAGTCAAATAAAAAAAGACATATATACCTGTAAAATACTAGGAAATTGAATAACAAAGTATTATTTACAGGTTGTAAGATTGTTATTTAATTACTAGAACACACCCGCGACATCGCAGGTCCGTGACTGAATGTTATTACCTATGCCTTATTTTTAGTCTGGATTTTTATTATTCGTATTGTCATCTGATAAAGTCATGCTGATTGTAAGGTGCACAGTTTTTTCTGCTTTCAAAATCTTTCTGTTTGGACTAGTCCTGGTTTTATTACTACCATAAACTTACTATAAACTAAATTTGAATTTTTTACTTATTAACCAATTGAAAATTAATAGTGGTATTGAGGTGTACTATAATTCAACATAGATATTAAACAACTACTGGAAGAATTGCAGGTTCTCCTGATAGAGGAGGGATTTACAGAAGGTAACAGGTGACTACAACCGGAAAATACATGTGACATATACTATTGGTATCGGTATCGGATTCAACCCGGAACTTGTTAATTATTGGTAATATTAATTATGTGGAAAACATAAAAGCCTGGAATGGTGTAATTTTTAAACAACACCATTGTCCTATATTAGTTATATATAAAGTTAAATTCTTTGATTCATCGTTTTTATGTCATGCCGGCTAACAAATTGGACTTTGATATTTTAGTTGTATAGATATAGGATAAGGTGATTATAACTGGGCATTGCAAAAGACAAACAAGAAACTGTCTTTATTTTGACTAATAAAACCCTATGAACTCTGGATTGACAATTTAAAAAAACCTTCAGAATTAAAAGATTTCTCTTAACTAATATATGATAAGTAAATAAGTTGAGTAAAAATTCCATTTTTGTAAAGATACATTATGCAAGTGTAAACTATTGTTATCAGAAGATATTTGTCAATTTTCTAACAATTAAAGTCACAAATAAATTCAAGAACAAATATTCGTAATATGCTTAAAATCATCAAAATTAAAAAACAGCTTGTCTTCATAAAAAAAAAAAAAAAAAAAGGGTAAATATCATAAAATTTTATCAAACAAGTTATAAAAATAATTTGACTTTTGCACAATATGCACCAAAAGCTGTATATTTATTAACAAATAAAGTCTAATAGCTCCTGGATCAACTTTTGGAAAAATCCTAAAAATTAAAAGGGGAGTTTTGTCTTCAGTATACATGAAAAAAAAACATTGTATAAAAATTACATACATTTAAAGATTTAATAAAGTAATATTGTGTAATATCATGAGATATTGCTCTTAAAGATGAAAATTTTAACATTCCATGACATTTAATATCCCATAACTGTGGAAAGACAATTGGAAAAATCATAAAAATTAAAAGGAATCTTGCCCTTCTGCAGCTAATTGCTGTGTACAAATTCTGTAAAGATCAAAAGAGAAAACTTGAGTTACCATAAGACATGCTCCAAATTGTCAAGTTCTTAAGAAAAATTATAGTCCCATAATTCTGGAACAACAAATCTGAATATAGTTAAAATCGAAATGGAATTTGTCTTCATAGAATGAAGCATTGTAAAAAAATATCATGAAGATCTGTTAAAGTAAACCATAAGGCATGTGTATGTTGCCCCAGAGGAAGTATTCTTCACTATCATTACAACTCTTGAAATAAATAACACAGCTATGCAATGCACACATGATATGCCAAAGCATCATAAGCAGTCTTTCAACATTGCACTAACTTTACTAAACACATGCTAAATCTTAAGTATTTTTTTACCTTCACAGAAGACACAGTGATCTCAAAATGAATAGGAATCTTTACACTAATTATATTGACCATATATTTAAGTTTGGGTCCAATCCCATGTAAGGTTTTATAGCTATATTTGTATGATCTGTAAACTTCTTTCCTGCCCTAATTATGATCTATTTTTAGAGATGGTGATGACAGGCTTTTGGGATGTTGGAAATAGGGGGTAAAAAGTGAGGATGTAGAATGTAGGGGGTAAAAAAGTGGGACCCAGAAAAAACAAATTGGAAAAAAGTAGAAAGGGAAAAAAAAATATCCCACAAAAAACAGGATTTGGGAACTGAGCATCCCAGTATCACCCCCTCTTTATAGACTATATCTTGACCCTAGATGTATTAACCCCAAAATTGTACTGGAACAAAATGCTTACTCAATCCGTAATTTGTTATGTTTTCTATATATATATTAAAAAAAAAAAATTGTAAAATTTTCTATATTAAAAAGTCCAAGGACCATAACTCTGCAAAAAAAATCATCTGAACGGAACAAAATTTGAACTGTGGAAAACTGATTATTTGAGTGAATTTTCTAAGTCAGAGGACTACAACTCTGCAAAAAAATCATTCCAACCAAAAAAAATTAAACTTGATCTGTAACTTGTCATAGTTAAACTATATAACAAATATCAAATCAATATCTTTAAGCATAACCAAAAAAAAAAGTGTTGAAAACTGATTATTTGTGTGAATTTTCTAAGTCCAAGGACCATAACTGTGCAAAAAAAAATCATCCAAAACTGAACAAAATTCAAACTTGATAGTACATGTAGTATTAAACTTGTCATGGTTAAAATTTATAACAAATATCAAATCAATATCTTCAAGCATGACAAAAAAAGTGCTGAAAACTGATTTGCCATACTGACGAATGGACAGACGGACGTAGTGCAAACCGAAAGTCCCCTTCGGCTTTGCTAGTATGGGACTAATAAGGATCTTCCTCTCATTATATGTGATCATATATCAAATAAGGTTGCAAACTTATATAATCAGATATAGAGTATTTGAAAATCCAAAACCAAGATGACTGAAGGATAGAAGGATAGACTGACAAGTAAAAAAATCTATGTGGCAACAGCACCTCAAATTCATCACCTGGTCAATTCTAATTTTCCCTGTAAATATCTTTTCCCTTTCCCTTACAAATCTGGGATTTATTAATTTCATATTCCCAAAATTCTTAGTTTTAAGTGTACCCTGTCCTGATATACACCAGTTGCATATATTGCTTCTGATTTGTCTCCTTCATGTTTTGCACGACCACTAGATTTAGTTTTTTAATTCCTCTTTAATCATGTTTAACATATTAGTGGACTCAGATATCCTTATGGTATAAGTTGTTCCAGATCATTAGTGAGACATGTGGTGAAACTCATGTTCAAGTCTAAGAAGAAGTCCTAATCATTGATAAGGCATGGCACCATAGAAGAATTATATAGGTGGATGTCTCCTGTCTAAAAGTAAGACATTATCAAATTCATAAACCATTGGTTATATGTAAATTCTCCTACCATCATACATAACTAAATGTACTGGTGTGTGAAAGTTTTGAATGAAAACAATGTCCCAAAATATCTAGTCTAACAGAAAGACATTACCAAACTACAACTGTCAAATTCAGTAACCCTAACAAATGACTGAATGTAATTGTGCAGAATGCTGGTAATTTCTATTAATCTGGCATCAAACTGACAAAGGCAGTAAATAAGTGATTGGGTAAAGCTGTCAATCTTTAATTATTGTTATTGAAAGATCGGAGCAAGACTTGATAGTTCAGATAGTAATTTGATAATGGCTAACAAAAATACAAGATGTATCGCCTTAGCGACGTAACGTAATAATGAATATCCCGAAGGTTTGTATGGTGTTTTCCCGGAATAATCTAAGATATTACAGTTATCATTGTCAACACCTCTTCCATAAATTCCAACTAAAAGTCAATTGACTCAATTACCCATTTAGAATATAATTCTACAATTATGAATGATTATTTAGATTTAACAACGATTTGAGCTTTTATTTTTAATTTGTAAATATCTATTTATACCATACCATCACATTTATGTTCAAACATACAATGACCTAAATTAGTATAGGAAGACTGAACTTTTAACAATATTGAAGCTTTATTAAACAGTTAAATACAAGTGCAAAATCTAACTGTTTAACAAAACGTTATTATCTATTTATAATTTAAAATAAAGGCTATAATTTATTTATATAACAAAAGTGGGCAAATTGGCACACTTAACGGAGTGGATCAATCCAAAGCACAAACTACTACATGTAGGTGCAAACAAGAAACAGGACGAGAAGAACCTTACCCGGCATCCACACTATCATGACTATCAGACCCCAGCAATACTCCATTCAACTATACAGATAAATACTGACATATATTAAGCATATAAAAATTGTGACAGCTGGTGGACTAATAAAACTATGAAGAAAACTATTACCAGAGAGAGGGGGCTTTGGTTTAATTTAAGCGTTTAAAAGTTCGATTTGCAATTGTCGTAATGGCAATCCCATCTTTGTCTCCTCGATAGCGACCTACCAAATAAGACTTACCAGGTTTGTACTAAAATGAGCAACACGACAGATGTCATATGAGGAGCAGGATCTGCTTACCCTTCCTGGGTACATGAGATAACCCTGAGTTTATTTTAAAGGAGTTCTCAGGGGTTATTACAGTATTTGTTCCTTACGGAATAAAGGTTATAGAATACCTGTTCCAACAGGAACAAATATTATGGCATAGTTTATAACAAAGTTTCCAGTGGAACTTCTGTCAGGCGGAACAAATATACGTTGACAAGTCAAGGTTAGATAATTTACACGACTGATGGTTTACGAATTTGGTGATGTCTTAGGGTCAGATAAGAGTTGATTACCAATCCACTATTATGTGATACCTTATCACTTGATAAAGCTTATCAACATATTTTATAGGAGTAACATGACGGTGTTACATGTGGAGCAGGATCTGCTAACTCTTTTGTAGCACCTGAGATCACACCTGGTTTGTTGTGGGGAATTATAGTTATCTCGTACCATTGTAAACTCGTACCAATGTCAACTCGTACACTAAAAAAAAACTTGTACCAATGCAAACTCGTACCACTGCTAACTCGTATTACGGTAAATTCATACCATTGTAAACTCGTACCAACTTATTTAAATGCATTCAAATGGTGTTTAATGATGAATATATACTTTAATTTCACTCAATACCTCTTAAGTCTGTAAAATGTATAAAATTTGAAATTACAATGAACAATTTGTAGTTACATATATTTCCGGACTTTCTGTGTTGCCATTTAGAACATACATCACACTCTATTGCGTCTTGTCGGGGTCTAACCAGAAAGTGGCACTTTATATATTTTTTTTTATATAATTGTCGTCTTCCATTGTGGTTATGAGGAACTTCACAAACATGCCCCATTTTATGAGGAAAGTGGGCTTTTAGACAACTCGTGTCAGCTTATGTTTTGATAATCAGGAATTTCATTTAATAATAAACATTATACATTTAATTCCAAGCTGTTAAATTATATAACAACAATCAAAATTTAATAATATGATTAAACAAGTTGATTTTTGTCTAAGTTTTCATTAAAATCTGGTATAAAATTCAAAGATATTTTAAATTTTGGTATAAAGCTTAAACAAAATAATCATAAAACATTCGTATTTTTGCCTAAGTTTTCATTAAAATCTAGTATAAAAGTTTACAAAAAAAAAATCATAAAACATTCGTACTTTTGAATATATTTTTAATGGTACGAGTTTGCAGTGGTACGAGTTCTGATTGGTACGACTTCCCAGTGGTACGAGTTTACGTTGGTACGAGTTAACTTTTTTGGTACGAGTTTACAGTGGTAGAGTTAACTTGCTTCCTTTCATTCCGTTGTGGGGATCGTGTTGCTCAGTATTTAGTTTTCTATGTTGTGTTTTGTAAACTGTAATTGTTTTTTTTCGTTTTTCTTCTTTCTTTGTAGTGGTATTATCAGTTTGTTTTCGACTTATGAGTTTGAATCTTTTATAGCCTCTCTTTTGCAGTGTTGTAAATACTCGACAATAGTCAATAGTGAATAGAACTTAGAAGTTATCAGTTCATATTTATATCATTACATAGAGGAATAGGCGTTTTAGTGTTATATCTTGTTTATTATGTTCTTACCTCAATTATTTGTATTTAAAAAGAAAATTCGTCTAACATGTGCCAATATAGTTGCCAGGTGACTACGATGCTTTTTCTGTGCACTTTATGGTAAAACGACTAATTGATTCCGAGCAGGTGCCCGTTGAAACAGTTTTGATTCGATTTGTCAAATCATTCGATTAATTTTTTTAATGATTAACAATTTTCATTTAAAATATAACTTCATTTTCTTTTTATATTACCTTCTTTGGTAATTAAAAGTGCAAACTTTCTTTCTTTTTCGATCGGAAACGATTTTAAATGGCCATCTGAATCACATTTTTCGGGAAATACCTTTGTATATTTATGAAATATGAGAGTAAAATAAATTTTCATTGGACATAGGGTTTCCTTTTAATCCAATCACTTTTCTGTTTACTTTCCGAGTGAGAATTATCAAGATGGCATCTAAAAAGTGACGTTGATGACTTAAATGTCAAAATATTGAGAACACAATATGTATTTTCCAGTTGGCTGGCCAAAATATCTTAAAGAAACACAACATGATTCCCCACCGCTGCAGTATATTATTAGTAGCTGCGATAGAATGTTGTTTGCCATATTGTGTGAAGACACCATCAGTATTTGGTACTGTAAGGTAAATGCTTTTTTAAATGTGTGACAAAACTGAGAAGGTGAAAAAATTCTTAAACTCTTAACTAAAATGTGTAAACTTGATTTTTGTTGAATCACATATTAAAGGTGCATTGATACATTCATGTACATATTACTGGAAGCCAAGTACTGAAAACTGAAGTAGGGTGTACTGTAGCTGTGGAACCGTAGAATCCGGGTTTGCGCCCAATCACGTTGAATCCGGGTCCGTTCGCCCCCAATCACGCTCGCCCCCATGCACGTTCGCCCCCCTTTCACTTTCGCACCCAAAGTCTGTTCGCACCCTACACGTTCGCGCCCAATTTTTATTAGTGACATTCTGACGACCAGTATTTTATTTTTGTGTTGAATAATTTTTAATCATGTTTTGGTTAGTGTATTGTTATAAATATTTCTTTTTTATTGTTTCAAAAGTAATTGGGATTCTGACAACGTTTTTGTTTTTGTTTTGAATAATTCGTAATCATGTTTTCGAAAGTGTATTGCTATAAATATTTTTTTTCATTGTTTCTGAATAAAGTGAGATTCTGGCACACATGAGATCAAAGGAGGCAAGCTGTTAAAACAATTATCTTTCATGTTTTTTATTTAAAATCTTCAAAGTTTCAAAGTTTTACTCATACCAAGCTAAATACATGCAGTATTTACATGTTTACATCAAAACAAGTTAAAACAACCATGACAAAAATCATGATTGTTAAACACTCAACAATAACACCAAATTAGGCTGTGTATAAATACCAATTAGCAGTAATCATACATAATTAACATTTAATAATTAATCATCAAATCAATTTAAAACAATATTTCATTTAAAAATTTCCGAATTTTTATTTATGAAAAAATATTTTGATATAAACATCTACAAACCATCTAAAAATTTATCAGGTTTTTGAATAAAAAAAAGGGTGCGAACGTACCTAGGGGGCGAACGTGTGGGGTGCGAACGTGTAGGGTGCGAACGTGTATTGGGCGCAAACGGACCTAGGGGGCGAACGTGTGGGGTGCGAAAGTGTAGGGTGCGAAAGTGTATTGGGGGCGAACGGACCTGATACCAATCACGTTTGCCCCTATGCACGTTTTCCCCCTTTTCACTTTTGCACCCTACACGTTCGCACCCAAAGTCCGTTCGCACTCTACACGTTGGCGCCCAATTTTTATTATACGACCGCAAAAATTAATCATGATTTTTAAACACTCAACAATAACAAACACCAAATTAAGCTGTGTATAAATACCAATTAGCAGTAATCATACATAATTAACATTTAATATTTAATCATCAAATCAATTTAAAAACAATATTTCATTTAAAAATTCCAGAATTTTTATTTATGAAAATAAAAATATTTTGATATAAACATCTACAAAACATTTAAAAATTTATCAGTTTTTTGAATAAAAAAAAAAAGGGTGCAAACGTGTAGGGTGCGAATGGACCTAGGGGACGAACATGTGGGGTGCGAACATGTATTGGGCACGAACAGACCTGATACCGGAACCGTAGCTCATGATATTTTTTGACAATTTGCGGCCAGTTCTGCAGCTAGGTGTACTGCAGCGCTGGATAACTCAACCTAAAATAAACTTGTTCTATAACAAACTTGGCCTTCCATAACATATATATAAAAATACAGAGAACAAACTCAGCCTATTTTTTTGGACTCTGCTTTCTGTTCTGCTTCACTATTTTTGTCTCCCCTGTGAAGAGATTTTCGTGGAAAACGATCATTGATATTTAATATAAAGTTGCATTACTATCAGTACATATCAGTTTGATGACTATTTTGAGGCCCTGCCCCCTAGGACATGGTCCAGTGACTGAATTAATTAGCAATTTTCAATGTTAAGTTTTCTGCTTAAGTTAGTTTGATAGGATCTTCTTGTGATAGATCAATGATATTTTGTATAAAGTTGCATTACTTTCAGTACATATCAGTTTGACAATTATTTTGAGGCCCTGCCTCCTAGGACATGGTCCAGTGACTTTGAATTAAATAGCAATTTTCAATGTTAAGTTTTCTGCCTAAGTTAGATTGATAGGAACTACTTACAATAGACAACAATATTTTCTATAAAGTTACATTACTGTCTGTACATGTCAGTTTATAGACCATTTTCTGGCCCTCGTGATTATGGGCTTGCGACTGAATGAATAAGCAATGTTGCTGTCCATGAGATTGTCTTTTCTGAATTTTATGCAGACAGGCAAGACATATCTATGTGTCAACAGTTTATTTTACATTGTTTTTGTTTATCAATTTTTATAATGTAGGAATTGATGTAATATGATACTTTAAATTTAAGGGATAATGACTGGTGTCACTAATTAGAGACAAGAAAAATTTTACCAACAAGAAGCGTCAAGAAGAATAATTTAGTGACAAGGAAACAAATTCAGCATCAAGCTCATCTCAGTGTTCTTTTATATTTGACCAATTTTTCGCGTTTAATTGAAAACATTTCAGACTTGTGGTTTAAACTTGATGAAAAATGTGCAAAAAGTACATGTGGCAGCTATTCAGCTTGAATCATAGGTCATGTTCATTCAAAGTAGTCATGCATATAATACATTATAAGAAAATAAAACACATTTTTTTTTTTGTGAGCTAATCATATCATCAAATACTTAACAGAAATGGACTATTTACATTGTATAATGTCTTCACACTGAACTAGAAGCCCGCCTCCGGGTGTGGGATTTTCTCGCTGTGTTGAAAACCCATTGGTAGCCTTCGGCTGTTTTCTGCTCTTTGGTCAGGTTGTTGTCTCTTTGACACATTCCCAATTTCCTTTCTCAATTTTAGTGTATTGAATGTGTGTTAGTTGATATTTTAGTCTGGGGAACCTGATTTATTGATAATTTTATATGGCCTTGAGCTAGCTTTCAGTAACTATAAATACAGATGTTAAAAAGCTGTGTCCGTTTTCATGTTTTCTTAATTGTTAAATAATGTACATTTGTACCTTTGATATTTCACAGATGGAGATTTAACACTGAAAAAAAAATACATGTAGTTTAAACCTGCCAAATGTTGAAATATCTGTCCAAAAGCAGGAACCATTTCATTTTTATTGTCTTTAGATATAATGATTATATAAACTTGGTTTTAGTTAAACACTGTACATTAGCCGCTAGGTGTCGTTTATGGTTTTGATATTGTTTGGTTGCAGTCCCTTGTCTTGATGTTTAATCCAGATCTCCTTTTATTCACATACATTGTACATCAGAAGTCTGTTCTCATGTTTTTGTTGTTGATCTGTTATGTAATATGATTAAATACTCTTCATACTATGGTATGTAGAGGTTAAATGTCTAAGGGGATTACTTGAGATAAAGTCCTGAGGTTTGTCCTGATTTCCTATTATTACTGGGCATATATAAATTCTTCTTCTATGGATACTTGATTGCTACAGACTTTTAATTTTACCAAAAAACATTGAAATATAGGTTAAAGATTTCAGATGTAATATACATTTATGTTCAAATATACATGTAGTTTATTCTCAATTCTTACCTTTTTTAAAACCACTTCAATATGCTAAAAGAATACATATTTTGCAAATTCTTTAAACTTTCAATGATTAAACATCCTGCCTTTTGAAAAACATTCTTCCCTACACACTGTCAATCTAGCTGTTTTTTCTTGGATATTTTGCCTTTGTCCTTGTCTGACCACTCAGTGGGGTGGGGTAGGGTATAACTAAAGCCATTATTTGGCTCCTTAAAATGAAAAAGTATTAAACTTATTCAAGCCTTTCAGAGTTACTTTAATTTTCTTGATAAATGAACAGGTTACTACAATCTGGACACTTTAGTGCAAAACGGTCAAATTCTCAATTGTTATGTCACTATGATACCATAAACATGTCGATATTGACATATTTGACCCAAAGTATTCATTTTACATGTAATTTATTTTACTAAATATCTAAATATATATAAAGCCAAGGTCTTTCCCAAAAAGAAATTTTTAACACATTTTCATCTTTAATTTGTAAAATACATCTTGTAGCAAAATACTTACTTTACTTTTTATGGTCGTATATTGGTATGATGTTGGCGTCGTCGTCGTCCTAAGACACATTGGTTTTCGCACAATAACTTGAGTTTAAGTGAATGGATCTCTATGAAATTTTACCATAAGGTTCAATACCACAAAAGGATGGTTGGGATTGAAAATGGGGGTTATGGTACCAACAGTTAAGGAATTAGGGGCCAAAAAGGGGCCAAAAATAAGCATTTTTGTAACTTCCAGACATAACTTGTGTGTTAGTGTATGGATCTCTCTGAAATTATACCACAAGTTTCCATACCACAAAGGGAGGGTTAGCATTGGCTTTGGGGGGTTATGGCTCAAACCGTTTAGGAATTAGGGGCAAAAAAGGGGAAAAAACAAGAGTTTCCTGGTTAATGGACAATTTAAAAGCAGTGTAAGGGAGGTAATCCAAAAACAAAATTGTACAATGTTGGATTACCTCCCTTACACTGCTTTTAAATTATCTATTTAAGACTTTTATGATGTATTTAAATTGGTAATTATGGTTGCAAACTCCATAATTCTCCATTGGAAAAATTTGAATTGAGATTATGACCATATCTTGAGGGAAATTTTTTTTTTAAAGGGGGGGGGAGGGGGGTAAAAAAGAAATTGTGGGGGGCAATTTAAAAAAAAAAGGGGGTAAACATTTTTTTTTTTTTGGGGGGGGGGGGGGGGGGGGGGGGGGGGGGGGGGAGGGTCAATATGCAGCAGCATAGTGTATTTCACAAAAGCAAAAAAAAAGGGGGGGTTCTTTGACTACAGTTATTCAGTGTCAGAAACCTATTATGTGTCAAATATTTAATTACAATCCAAATTCAGACCTGTATCAAGCACAAATATTGTGTCCTTTTTCGTCCCAACTGTTCAGGGCTGGACCTCTGCGGTCGTATCCAGCTGAGCTCAGTGAAGCATTTTATTTTAGTTTATAATAAGGCGCTAA